CAACTCCAACTCCATTTTAAAGTGGCTCTATTTATATTATTTCTCTACACACCAAGGCCTTACTTTAAAAGCTTTCATAACCAAGAGTCTACCCATTTTGAGGTGTGACCAAAAGACTACCTGTTTGGTGAACTAATTTTTGTGCTAACTGCAGTAGCAGGTCACCTTCACCCATCTAGCTCGAGGTCACCCACAGAAGTCAGCACCCAGAAGCCCGTGAGCACTTGTTTGCTAAGACCCTGGCAGCTCCCATTGCTAAAGCCCCTCTCTATGAAAGAATAACCCTGTGTCTGTTTAAAACAGCTGGGCAAATATAAAAATAGTCCCTCTCTTATGAGCATTGGCTTCTGTAAGCTGCCAAGGAATAAAAAACCATCCTGCCATCCCTAGAACTTCATGCATTTAAAGACCCCATCCACGTGGCTAAGGATGGTTTTGTCCATCTCCCCGTAATGAATGATAACAACAGCTGAATGCTGTCAGCACATGCTGATTCTGAGTTATTTCAGAAAAAGTTCTTATTTAAGCCTCACTTAACCTTTTGAGGAAGCAATCCTCTTTTTAGGTGATGAAACAAATCTTAAACAAGTTAAAGACCAAGAACAAACATTAAGTTTCTGGGATGTGAATAAAGGCAGAGTTGAGAGCAAAGCCCTCGTCGACCTTGCTCCCCACCGCTTCACCCGCCAAGGGGGACCCTCTGTGCTGTACGATTTCCTCAAAGCAGCAAGATAGCATGTCAGGAGTAGGGGCTTGAGGTAGAGAGTGTTTAGACCTGGGATCGGTGAGGGGACTGCTAAATTGGCAGGGGCTAAGGTAGCATGAGCAGCTTAGGTCCCACCTGGTATTCTGGGGCTTTGACCAGTTGTCATCTGGAAGATGTATTACCCTCTCTTCACTGCTTCATACCTTTTGGACTTTACACTCTCCCTAGCACCATAGAATGAAAGAAGACTACTCTTCCTTTAGGCCTAACTTAAAATCAGAGGTCTTCTAAAATGTTGCTTTTGCCCACTAACGGCCTCTTGCCCCCACACCAAGCCAGTCACGCTGCATCCCATGGGGACACCACAGAATAATCCTAACTGCTCCTGTTTAAAGGTAAAAGACCACATCTGGTGGGGAGACAGGAGAGGGCTGCCGACCTGAGGTCAGAACTTGGGAAATTTGGGTCAGGTCTTTGGAACTGGATATTTGGGGCAGAATTCCCTTAACCCTGTGGATTAGACTCCTCACCCAGACATGGGGCTCCTACTCCTCTTTTAACAAAGCCAGTTCTATCACATCCCAGAGTCTCCATCACCCTCCCCCCACCCACTGTAGCTAAATTTAAACCCTCATCTGTCCTTTTCCTGTAGGATGTGGGTATTTTAAGGGAGCAACAGCGTGGTGCTGCAAGAGTTGCAGTGACACCAGAGCTGTGAAAATAATCATGCCAACTCCTCCTGTTTGTCTGTCAGACGTGCCCGCCCGCCAGGGACTCAGCCAAAGGATGCTGGGTGAGGAGAGGGTTCCCCGGAGGCAGAGTTCAGGAAGCTGTACCTGCAGTCCACAGAGGGACAGAGTGGACACAAACTCATCCTCAGACACCCCTCTGAGAGATCCCAGGCTCTGAGGGATTCACCAGATCCACATATAGTCTAGGGGAGCCCTGAGGTGTGATAAGTCTGGGGGATCTAGGGGACACACTTTGGGGAAAAAAAACAAGGGCATTACAATCTGAAGGGCTTATGAGATCTTCCAGAGCTCCTAGAAGACTGGGAGCAGAAGTGTCATTCTTTAACTACCCAACAAAGTCCCCAGGGTGGGGGCTGGTGGGTGGGAGGTTTCCAAATTCTTGCTGATTGATGCATCAGCCCAAAGGTTGCAGGATGGAATGGAGATGCCTGAAGGGGGCAGAGCCCTCCTGCATTTACACACAACCAATGTGTGCGTGCCCACCGCCCAGAAAGCACAAGGGCAAGTTTTCAGGTCTCTGATCTGGTAAGAGGAAGGACACACTTTGTTCTCGAACTCGTGGTTTCCATATCTGCCTCTACAGCGTGGCTTTTCCCAAGGACATAGCTCTTCATCATGCACCTTTCAGGAAGCTAATTAATTTTCACTGCAGAGAGAGGGCTTCAGAGGAAAACAGCCCTCCAGAAGAAAAGGATGGAGTCGGGCCAAAAGGGATGTGTTGACTATTTCAAATTAAATGGGAATAGGTCCATTGGAAACTCTGCCCGAGGGCTGCCACCCTGAGGTTTTGCCAGCTTCTGTGAGGGAGGTTATGGAACAGCCTTCCAGGAGATCTTGAGCAACAAAATAAAAACCCATTTGGACCCCTGCCTGCTGTCCTTTCTCTGCATGATCAGAGCTGGCATCTTGCCTTGCTCCAGATTCCTATTGTGTATGTGGGTGTGGATGTGTTTGAGAAAGAGAGCGATTGCGAGGGGCGGGCCAGCACGCAAGGGCAGTGGTTTGGCAGCACAGAGTTCAAGATCTTCTCCAGGCCCCCAGGCTCCTATTTACACCATCACCCCCACCCCTACCCATGACTCCTCTTTGGGTCTAATTGTCATATAGAGAGAGGGCAGTAAACAGACACTGGGATCTGGGGTGTCAGACATGAGGGACAGGAAAGGTTACACCTATAAGATATAATCAGTGATCAGTGGCTCTGATTCTGGAGCGTCTACTGGACACTACTGTAGAATGGTAGGTTCCAGAAGAAAGCCCATCCCAGAGACATGATCCAGAAAGTCCATGAGTCCAGTCAAGGTTGGACAGATGCTAAGAAAGACCCCACGCTGCCGTTTGCCATTCTATGCTGCAGATATATGTACATCAAGGGGGGACAGAGTTCACGGCAAGTTCTCCCTCTCCCCCACCTGCTCCCCAGAGCTGTCGCTTGAACTGGACGGAGGTGAGTAAGGACCCAAAGCCTAAGTCTCAGCCACGGTGCAGGGGCTCCAAGGGCAAGCACGGAAACAATAGGATGAACCTGGTTTCAGCTCCTCTGCCTGGGAAGCTGCGGCCTCTGACACCAGGGAGGGTGAGGATGAGGAGGGATGGCAAAGGGGGAGAAAATGGGGTGAATATATTGAAATTCAGGACCACAAACTCTCTCACATTCCTCTCTACCTATTGAGCCATCACCTGAGCCTCTGAGGGACTCGGGCTGAACTAGTAGAGCTGCCTCCCACACGGTATTGCCATCAACACAGACACGTCAGCTTGGCAGCCGGGCAGCCCCGCCACAGGAGAGGCTGCTGCAGGCCATCTGCTTGGCCACCTCCGTCCTCTATGCACTGACCTCCCAGGCCAGGGGGCCACAAGAGCGGCTCTCCTCGGCCCTTCTACCTCAGTGTGAGGGCCACACGTATCACCTCATTCATCATTTACAGAGCCCCACCACATGCCAGACTCTGTACAATTTGCTGAGGATACAGCAGATATGGTGGTGGAGACAAACATGTACCGCAGTCTAGTGGGAAGCGCTGCAATGGAGGCATAAACTAGAGGTGCCAGAGCACAGAAGACTTCCTGGAAGAGGCATCATTGGAACTAGATCCTTCGGTGTTAAGTAGAAGATTACACACAAAGTAGAATAGATAAGCAGATAGGTAGAATAGTTAAGTAGAACATAGGCACACAAAGGGGAAAGAACCATGCTGGGCACAGGAAACAGTATGTACAAAGACGCAGAGGCAAGAGCGAGCAGGGTGAATTTGGGGAAGCACTAGTGGTTTGTGTGACGGAAGCCCAGGAGTGTAGGTGTGGTGACAGAGAGGGACCAGGGAGGGAGGCGAGGCCTGACCCACCTGGGTTAAGGGGCCTCCCAAGGCATCAGAACTTGACCCTGGCAGTGACAGGGAGGTAGGACGCATTCTAAGAGTAAAGTGGCATAACCAGAGTCAGGCTGGGGTGGAGTAAGACACCAAAGGCAGGAAGAACAGGTAGGATGCAGGTAGAAGGCCCTGGCAACAGACCAGGCTTATATTGAAGAGGTGGTGAATCAAGAGAGCAACAACAGCAGGGGGAAAAGAAAGAAAAAGACATACTGAGGGATTTTAAGGGATAAAAATGACAGGGTTTCATCACCATTTGGACATGAGGTTAAGGGAGAGGGAGAAATCTAGGCTGACACCCAGGTTCCTGGCTTAGATAACTGGGCAAAAGGCAATGGGGAGAGGTACGCAAGAATATAGCAGAATGTGGGCTAAGGTTGTTTGAGGAACAAGGTGCCTGAGTAGACACACCAATAAGTAGTTGTAAGTAGGGGTCAGGAAAGAGGCCTCGATGGAAGAAATATATGTAGAGGCATCCACACACAGCTGGTAGTTGAAGCCATGGGTAAGGATGGGGCGCCCAGCAGAAGTAAGACTGGGCACGGGGCAGGGCACAGGATGGGCCACTGAGCTCCACCTCCGTCCCACCTGTATTAGCAGGACCCCCAGAGAACATTACTGATACTCGAAACCCGTCATCCCACAGAGAGGAGTTAAGACTCGGATCCCTGGTATCTCCTAGGGCAGGGACAGCACAGGAAGGGTGCTCCCACTACAGGTCCCTCTTCTGAAACCACCCACCTGGATACTGCCCCTCACTGCCCAAGGAGCGTGTCTCAGAGTCCGTCCTCTCTTGTTACAAACAGCACGGCCGCCTGCCCTCACCTCCTGGACTCCCAGGCTAAGAGCCCATGTGCTCCAGATGGAACGTTCCAAGAGACGGAGGGGCTGACAGTGACCCCGCAGAGCCCAGGCCTCTGGGGCATGCCCTGCATTACCCGCTTTTCCAGAGAGTGCGAGGGGACGAAGGCGGTGGGAGCTACCTGACCCTGACCGACTTCCCTGCGGCCTGGCATCCTAGTGATGGCACTCAGGACAGCCAGCCCTGCCCCGTCGCCTCAGCCCCGCTCAAAAGACCCAAGTAGGCCCTGAGACCCAAGGGCCCGCACCCCACACACAGGATCAGGCAGGCAGGAGGCGGCGCATGGAGCTTTTTTCTGGTTGTTTTATTTGAAAACCCTCAGGTGTGTCCCCTCCCTCACCACACCAATCCCCTACCCCCACCCCAGGACATGACGATGCCACACGCACACACAAGGCTGTGAGCTGCACATGGAACACAGGGGCTGTGCTCACGACAACATGAAAAAATATACATTATATATAATACACCGGGGCCCCTACTCCCACTCCCACCCCCCACAACCTAACCATGACCAAGTCATGTAGGAAGGGGCAGGGGCTGCAGGACCTCAGGCCGGGACAGGAGGGGAAAGAGGACAACAAAGGAAGGAAAGGGGGCATGGGGAAGGAGCAGGGATCCCCAGAGTGAGATGGAGAGGCGGGAGATCATCAGAGAAGCAGGAAGGCCCTGTCGGAGGGAGCTGGGGGAGGAAGGCCTCACGGAGAGGAGAGTAGGGAAAGGCAGGGGGTTCCTTCAATCCCATCCTTGGCTGCTGCCATTGCTACTGACACCCCCTCGCCTCCCCCCAACCCATAGAGAGCCTGGTTGGTGGGGGGAGAGACAGAGACACAGGTGAGCTAGGAGAAGGCTGCCCTGAGAGGCAGAAAAGGCAGCCAGCGTCATCCACACTGGGAGAATAGGAGCCCAGAGGCATGGGAGGGAGGCGGGCTGGGGACTGACGAGGGCAGACTCCAATGGGACCCACTGGGTTTTGAAATTAAAGGATGACTCAAGCTCTCTCCCTCTTGGTCCCTCTTCTCTCAGAATGTCCTTCTCTCTTTTCTGGGGGTGTCTCTGCCTCACCAGGGCAGAATTCTTTCTCTGTTTGGGGAGGGGTGTAGGCTTTAGTAGCGGTGTGGGGGGGTCTCAATGATGCGTCTCTCATCGCTGCTGGGCGAGTCAGCTGCCTCTGAGTCACTGCTGTCCTCATCTTCCTGCTGGCCACCGGCAGGCCCCACCCCACAGGCTTGCCGATTCTGGTAGGACTGGAGAAGGCAAGGGTGGACAGGAGAGGGGCTCAGCGGCCTCGCACACCTCAGAGCCCCTCCCTTGGGGCCACACTCCCTCAGTCTCCCCATCCCCATCCCCACCCCACCTCCTCCCTCTCCAAACCTTTCTCCTTCCTGCTCACGAGCTCTGCCCAAACCTTTCTCCTTTCTGCTCACAAGCTCTGCCCAGAGCTTTTTCCCCAGGGCCTGGCTATTCTTAGGAGTCTTCAGTGTGTATGTTCCAGCCGAATCTTGACCCTTTATACCTCCCCACCTCCCAAAGCCACTCACCTCCATGGGGTTCACAATAATGGTGAGAGCGGAGTCATCCCAGAAGAGGTCCGGGTCCTTGGGGTCACTGGAGGCCCCCGGGGGGCCGCCGGCTCCTGAGACCCGGCGGTGAAGGGAGTGGATTCTCACCAGGCCCAGGATGACCATGAGCACCAGGAAGCCCACGCATACCACAATGATGAGAGTCGCTGCACTGGGGACCACTGCGGGGAGAGCGTGCAATGAGGAGCCCGCGGCCAGGCCCGCCTGAGTGGACTCAGCACAGGGAGCAGGCGGGGGGCCCCGGCCAGAGGGTGCCTCTTAGTAAGAGAGGATAGGATCTACGATGGCCCAAAGAGGGGACTACCCTGTAGAAGCTGGAAGAAAAATAGAGCTGGGGAGGACCAGAAGGCAGGCTAGAAGCAGGCAGCAGAGTGGCTGCTGCTACGGCCAAAGGAACAGAGAGACAGAGGGAGGAAAGTGTGCAAAAACGGGGGCAAGGGCAGAGGAAGAATCGGGCTCCAAGCCCAATGCTGTCAGAAGCACCCCTATTCTCCACGGGCAGAGGGAAAGGTTTGCAACCTGCCCAGGTCATCCTCTTGGGACCCTCTGGCCTAGCAATGAGGTGCCCAGGGCCCAGTGGGGTAAGAAGAGAGGCAACCACATAGACTTAATAGTGTGGGAGAAGAGAATGTCTAAGGCTGGGGACAGGTCGGGGGGACAGGTTGGAGGGACAAGGAACAGCTCGTTCGCTTACCCACCTAGACTGAGCCTACTCCTGCTTGGTGCCGCCTTCCTTCTCCTTATGGACTTGGGGCTCCTGAACCACGGGGGCTTCTGCTCCTCCCTCTGAGGTATAGCCCCCTTCCCCATGGCCCTGTCATGCCTCTGGCCCTGCAGCCTCACTTTGAGGTCCAGTGGGGCATGGGTCCTGAAGGGCAGTGAGACACTGAAGGGCATGTGGACTCTCACATGGACCCTAGAGCTCAAGGCGGAAAAGCAGATGTGCATGCACAGGTACATGCCCAAGAAGAGTGTTTGGGCACAGAACTGGACAAAGGTCGCCCCACCCTGCACCCAAGCCAGGCCTCTGCTGGCCCATGTAGCTGCCTGCACCAGCCACCTGGCAGCCTGCTCACACAGCAGGATCAAAGGGATACGCCTGAGGGTCTCCAGCAAGGCAGAGAGGAGCAATAGGTGCAGAGTCACCCAGCTCCCTGCCAGCTGGGCAAGCCAGCCAACCCCTCGAAGGAAGATGTAAACACCACCGACATGGGTTGCGAGGGCCACAGAGCGAGCAGCCGTGAGCGCAGCTCTTCCCCCCTCCCACACACACAGAAACAGCCCTCGGAGAAGCAGAAGCAGGCAAAACAGGAGAGCCCACAGCCCCAGGGACAGCAGATGCAGGTAGAGACCCCACACACACATGCCCAGACCCAGGGCCCTCACAAGCAGCTGGGTCACTACACCCCACATGGCGCACACCCCTGCCCGCTGTTTTTGCTCACAGCAGCTCACCCGACCACAGAGGCTCCGTCAGGCCCAGACCGTGGGCAGTTCTGTTGCTGAGGGACTATTACCCATACACCTCATACACGCACATTACGTTCCAAGCTATAGATACTGTCCTGAATGCACCCATCACCTCTAACACACGTCAAGAGACAGAGCAGAGCGCCCAGAAGCACAGAGCACGGGAGCCCCATGCATCCTGCTGCAGTCCCCTCCCGCAGGCAGCCACCACACGCACACTACCACGCGCTCCTGGGCCAACCTGGCGTGTGGAGAACGCCCTGCCTCAGGAGGCACACTAGCCTCACACCTCCCTGAGGCCGCCCTGGTGTCTCTCTGCCAAGTTGGTCCCCGTCCTGACTTGACCCATAGCCCACTTGGGGCCACTCCCGAGCTAGAGCTGACTCTGCCTAGCAGGGCAGAGGTGGGTCTGACTGGATCCATATTGCTCAACTGCCTGGGGATAGGGGAGAAGGGAAGAGGGGCACAGAGATGACCTTTCTGCCCATCTGCAGACAATAGAACCTCCCAAGTCTCCAAGTCAATGAGTAAGATCAGGGTGGGGGGAGGGGGGAGTCCCAGGAGAGGACCCTGGTAGCTAAGCCCAGGCTCTAGGAAGGGGGGGAGACCTTCCCTCAGAGGGGAGACCACAGCAGGGGAACGTGCTCTAGGGCACAATGGTACGTCAAAGTTTCCGGTTTGTGCCTTAATCAAATGCATTTGTCCCTCTGAGGCCCCAGCCTGGCAAAGGAAATTATAAATTGATGGAAATTACAAGTTGATTGCCAGCACTAGGAGGTGTCAGAAAGGAAGGGAGGGAGAAAGGGAGGGATGGAGGGAAGGAGGGAAAGAAGGGGAAAGAGAAGGCTAAATAAATACTGTCTTCACCATTTTGTCTCACCCTTCTCAGACAACTTTATTCTCTCCTACTATATCACCCTAAACCAACCACCCACCTCCAATTTTCAAATTCTCATTCTCTCTCATGGCCACACAAAATCCCCTCTATCCTTCAAGGTCCAAGTTCAGACTCCACATGTGCCACAAAACATTCCCCGACTGCCCCACTTCACACTGATCTCTGCTTTCTGATGTTCTTAGGAGCTTCAGAGAAATCCACCTCCTGTCCCATTGGAGGCAGTGGTATCTTTTACACTTCTGCATGGCTAGAGGAATTAAATTGCAAAGCCACAGTTCTGTAATGCCACCCTTGGGGTTGGGAGGGGTAGGGGAAGGACTGCTTTGAGGAGGCAGATGGACCAGGTTTTATGGAGCGGATCTCCTGGTAAGCTCGGGAGATGCCAAGCACCAATGACCCCAGGTGAACTATGAGCTCTGCACAATACTCAGGCCAAAATAAGGGAAAACGCAAAGGCAGGCTGCTGCTCTCAGTTAGATCTCAGAGCAAGCTTGGTTGGCCTGGACATCAGCACAGAACAGGAACTAGGGCAATGTCTACACACCCTGGAGCACCCCGAGGCAGATGGGCAGATAAGGGTGAGGGGAGAAAGCTCTAGGGCAGTTACAATGGGGACTCCTTCCCCTGGGACCTCCTTCCAGAGAAAACAAACACTGAAAATCTCAACAGGCCCAACAGCAGTGTCAAAGGGAATCTGCCTTGAGCCTAATCTGTGTAGAAGGACCTATTGTCCAACCCAAAGAAGGTTGAGTGGGCTAGTTCCCAGGGAAAGAACTGGAGAAAGGGCTAAGGAATCATAAGAAAAAAGAGGGTTGGTGCAAGCGTCTATTTAACAAAAACAGGTTTAGTTCACTTATATGTCTCTACCAACTAAAAAAATCAAATGAAGCTTCTTGGAACCTTTTGAACTTGGTTATGCCTTGTGCTCCCTCCTCACCCCTAGCTATATCCATCTGCTCTGCCACAGTGAGTCACAGTAAAACACAAAAAGTCTTCTGCTGAAGAAAGAGAGCCAGTTCCAGGGAAAAGGAAACACAAAGGATAATGTGGTAGAGGCCACTGACTAAACAGACGAAGCCAGACTGAGTAAGAAGCCCTGGGAAGCCCACAGAACTCCCCGAAATTGGGTGCAACTATAAAGTATTGAGGCTAACAGTAGTTTCCTAAAGCATCAAACATAAATGGGGAGGGTATTTGAAGCAATGGTTAGTGTACGGGCTCTGGAATTCCGCTGCCTGGATTTGAATTCTGGCTCTATCGTTTTCTAGCTGTGGGATCTTAGATCAGGTACTTAACCTCTCTGGGCTTTCACTTCCCTGTCTTTAAAGGAAATAATTCCAGTACTTAATCGATTTGTTGTTTGTAATGACTAAATGAGTTAACACGTGTAAAAGCCCACGAGCATGGAGCCTGGCGCACACTGATGTGTTCGCTGCTCTCATTATTCCGTTGTTGAAACGCGGGCTGTGCTTTCAGGGCAGTGTGTGGTAGCCACATGCTTCTTCCAAGAAAGTATCCTTGAAACTCCTTAAAGAACTGCTTTTGGAGCCTGTGACACACCTTTTCACATTTTTCAAAAGTGACAAATCTGTGCCCTTTGAGAGTGGGTTTAATGTTTAAAAGTGTAGAATGACATCCAGCTCCAACTCTGACAGAAGTGGGTGCTGAAGTTGGGTAATACTGAACTGGGCCCCCAGCAAGGCGTGTCCAAAAAACTAAAATAAAATAAATGCAGTTCATAAGTTGGCTTTGAAAGCAATCTGAAAAGGGATTCTATAAACCATTTTGAGCAACGTCAGAATGATTTTGATTTCGCAGTTGTTAATAATGTGGGAGAAGACGAATTTTATAATATTTGGTGTAAAACTCAGGTTACAAAATAACTGGATCCCAACTTTGTAAAAAGAAAAAGATAGGTATAGAAAAAGAACAGACACATAATATATTATATGAAAAATGGTTTTCTGTGATAGAATTATAGCTGTTTTTTCTATTTTATGCTTGTCATTTCTAGCTTTCTTACAATTAAGCAACTTTTAAAGCGGGAATTAAAAGGCTGCATCGCTGGTGAAGGACCGTGACCAGGAAACCAGACCCCTTTGAAGGGCAGCACTCCATCTGGGTATTTGCATATGTGCGTATTTTGTTTTAGAAATAGTCTTACGACTTTGTAAATAGCCCATAATTACATGTGTAATAGCACCACCTTTTGCCTTGAGGACAGGGACTATAGCTATCCTATAATTCTTTTATACTCCTAATAGTACTTTAGGACAGACAGTGCTAGTACATAATAGGTGCTTAATAAATACTCGATAAGGGCCGGGGCTAATTTGATATTGTGTGGGAGGGCGGAAGGGATAACAAAGGCTTTGCCTAAACCCCACACTGCCCTTATGATTCGCAGCATAGGTGCCCCTGCAATGACACAAGGCTCCTGTTCTTCACAAGGGCAAGTTAATGATCCGGGGGGATAAAGGGACTGGAACACAGCCATCAGGTATCACAAGGGAACAGAACCCACTGCACCACCCTGTTCCCCCTCCCAAGGATGGAGGGGGAGGATGCCTGTGCCCAGCCCAGTACCCTGCCACCCACCCGCCCCACACAGCCTTACGTACTGGAGTTTCGGTGGGAGCTGGCCAAGCTGTGTCCAGCCATCTCAGGAGGTGGCTGGTGACCACGGTGCAGGAACTGCTGGGAGCTGAGCACATGGCTGGGGTGAGCAACCCGGTTCATGCTGTGCAGGACGTTGACCTGGAGAAGGAGGGCTTGGTGGGCACGCACTCCCCCCCAGGTCCGGCTCCACCTCTCTCAAGCTGTCTCCCACCACTGCCTCCCCCACCCCTCGCCCCGCTGCGGCTTCCCACCCACTACCGTGTCCAGGAGTCCTCCCTGCTATAAGTCCCATCCCCACCACCTGTGGGTCCCAGTCCACTCCACCCTGGTTCCTCACCAGTAGGGGGTAGCTGTGGAAGGAAAGAAAGGAACCCTCGTGGTACCTCCACAATGAATTCATTGCTGGAGTAACGACCATTCATTTCTGAGCAGGAAAGCCGGAACTTTCTGGCGTAGAGGGCAGCTCCGTGGCGCAGCCGATATCGCGCCTGCCTCAGGATCTCTTCATACACAGTGATGCTCTCCACCCCTGGGAGACGAGGAAGCACCTCAGTGCAGGGGCCAGCAAAAGGGCCCAGGGCAGGACTCTCTCTCCCACCAGCCTAGAATGGGTGAGCCCCACCCTTCAATAGGGGTGGCACTCAAGCTCTCAGAGGATGAGATGCTCCCTTCCGTCCCCCGTCTGGCTCTGACTGGCTGGAATAGGCTGCGTTTCCTGCTCTGCCCTTCTCTAACAGCTCTGGGGCTTCTGAGTAGGGATGGATGGAAGGAAATCAGGAGACTGCCCACATGAGGGAGCGGGCAGGCAGGAGAGAAACAGAGAGAGGAGGAAATACAGAAGTCGTCAGGGAAGCTCTTGAAAAGAATGGAAATACGAGAGAACTGATTAGGTCCATCAGCTCTCATTCTCACTTGTGGAGAGTCCTTTGGAGAAGAGCAGGCTTCCTTTGGAAGTTCCCAATGCATTACCGCTAGTTAGATGACCTCCTAACTGAAAGCTATCCTGTGTACGTGAGATTAGTTAGATGGAAGACGGACAGGATGGCTGCTATCAAACAGCTAGAGGATCAGGAAGCTAGTCTGAGAAGGCTCAGGCAAAGGAGGAGTGGAGGTGAGCCAGGCCGTAGAGAAAGAAGAGAGAAAGGACCATTTGGAGACTAACCCCCAGCACATTTCCTCTAGGGGCAATCTGGAAGCCAACAGATCTTCCAGGCTGGGAAAGCACAAAATATCACACAGCCACATTCCTGGGTCTGGAAGCAGGGCCCTCTGGATTTCCTGGTCCTTGATCATGGGGAGAAGCACACAGAGAAAACGAAGGCAGGCTCTCGGGCCACACTGACCAGCAATGGTGAGGTAGGCTGACGTATTGGTGAGCTCCAGGCCTCGCTGTTGCAAGGATGCCATGTCTAAGAGCAGGCTTTCCCGCTCCGGGTCCAGGTCATCCCCCACCAGAGAAATCTCACAGCCATCCAGGTTATGCACGATCTCGTCTGACATGCGTGTGTCTGTCACTGGATTGGAGAGAGCCAGGATCTGGGTCAGAGCTGAAGACCCACCTCGTGGCGGCTCTTCCTACCCCTCCAGGGTCATTCCCTGGGAGCAATCAGCATCACTCTCAAGAACGCCATTACCCAACAATTGCTGTGCACCCATGGACCTCCCCCTGGCTCTTCAGCCTGATGGTAAGTGGTTCTAGTCAAGCAAATGCAGGAGGAAGTCAAGCACTCACATCCACCCCCAGTTTTTCCTCCTTCACTTTGGTTCCACACAGAGACCCCTTCTCTGGATGATCTCATTCCCTGGGGTCATCCTTACCTGTGCCCTGCCAACTCTCATCCTTTTTGGCTTCCACCTGGTGAGAAATGGAGCAAGTGATTTGAAGATCTGGGAACAAAGCGACCCCCTCAGATCCCTCGAAGTCCACGGCTGGGCGGGCAAAGTGAGCAGTGCCACTCAACAGGATTTGGGGAGCATCAGGCTGGAGGACCACCACGTAGCCTTCCACTTCAGGGATGGAGACGCAGGATTCTTCACTGAAGCACCTATAGAAGACATGGGCAGCTTGTGACCCCCAAATGCCCTCCCTTATAATCTATATTCTGTTTCATCCCTCTGGGCCTCCACCTCTACATAGAGGGTGGGAGAGGAAAAGGGCGATAGGGTCCCTGCACCACCACACCCCCTGGGCAAAGCTGGAGGGGGAGATCCCATCTCCTGGGAGGGCGCCACTGCAGGAAAGAACAGGGACAGAGGTCAGGCAAACCTGACCTAAGGCGGTGACCACATCCTCAATGCTCTAACCTAAGATTATGGGACATCTATCAAACTGCCTTTTACAGGCTGAGCTTAAAAAATGTATATACATACATATATAGTTCTTTATCCAGGAGGGTTTTTTAAGTGTATTTATTCAATAGTACAGTATCTGACAGATAGGTACCTCAAAATATCCAACAAAAAAAGGGGGTGGGGACCTATCAAAAGATGCCCTCCTTCTTGGTGAATCTTCCACTCATTCCCTTTTAATATCAGAATAACACTCTTTGGTAGGTGAACTAATCTGACTGTCCTGGACCTGCATCCACCTTCCCATGAAGCCTCACTGATCTTGGTGCCAATACAAACTCCGCAAAAAACTCAACCAGGCTGAAACAACCAACAGCACAGCAGCTCAGGAACACACTCCCAGGATCCCCTCTAACCACACCCTATGTTCATTGACAATAATTCTCACAGCACTTGCTGGTTTATGAAGCATTTTACCCACATTACTTCATTTCATTTTATTTCAGTGCTGTAGAACAGGGGGAAAAAAGCAAAGCTTTTAGGTGAAGCATTTTTGGTTTCATAAGAAATATGTGTCCTAGTCAAGGTTTAAACCCATTCTTCTCATTCTAAGTCTGTGATCTTTCCACTGAACAGCAGCTACCATTTGGGACTGCACCAACCAGATTTATTCACAAAGAAGTGTCCCCTTGAACACACAGCCTTCATAAGGGAGCTGCTAATTCGGGGGTAGGGCACATGGTCCACACGCTTGTGCTAACTGAACTGATTTTGCTGAGAAGACCATTATTAGAGTGCCTGAGTATGCCCAGTTTGATTGCTGGAGCCAGAAGAGAGAAGGGTAGCCTCAGCAGACATGATGAGCTCAGGGTCTCTGAAATGACCAATGCCCATGGCTCACTGAGCTCCTGTGTCGCTAGGAGTGGGGCCTAGGACAATCTGCATGGTCATGTGGAGGGGCTTGGATCAAAGCCTCTTGGAAAACAGCCCCACCTGACCCTGGCAGCACAGGCTCCAATGGACATTCCCACTTTGATGAGCAACCCAAAGGGCCACAAAGAGGAACGGGAGGCTGGCCACAACCCAAAGGCACCAATGGTGTGGTTGAGAGATTAAATACAGAGCAAAAACCTTAAAACAAGGGCAGGCATGGTCACCCTCATGTAAGAGGAACAAAACCCCATGAGAATTCAGAGAGGGAGAGACTTTTCCTGGTTATGGTGGGAACAGGGCATTCAGCAAGGGAGGGTAGGAACAATCAAGAAAAGCAGCAGCGCATGCTCTCCCTCTTGGGAGCTCGTCTGCACATTTATTCCCTCTCTTCTTCCCCGACAGGTGTGCATCTCCTAAACTCCAGGGGACCCCCTGAGACTTGCAATCAGAGGAGCAATGGGCAGCATCTCACCCCGGGCTAACCCCTTGAACCTGTCTCCAAGAACTCTCTTCTCTGACTTTCCAGTAAACCAGAGCAGCCCATAATCTTAGGGTTATGTTCCATAATCTTGCTTCTATCCTAAGCCTTTCCTTGTTTCACTATCCCCAGCCTTAATAAATGTACTCTCAAAATCAAAAGAAAAAAAAAAAAGAAAAGAAAAGTAGCAAGTGAGCTAGCCTTTCAAGGAAGGAGGACTTCACTTCACAGAAGGTGAAGAACATACTCAGTGGGGTAGAGAAACATAAGGCAGGGCCAGATGGTTGAGGGTTTCGAGTGCAATTTTTGTGCAGTGGGCAAAACAAAGCCATGAATGTCTTCTTCATCAGGAAAAGAAAATTCCTAAAATTCTAATTTAAGATCACTACTCTTGCCTCAGAGCAGACAGTCAACCAAAGTTAGGACACTAGAGATGAGTCAACTAGTTAGGAGGCTACTGCAATAGGCCAAGTGAAAGGGAATAAGAGCCTGCGCTGGAGTCATAACAGCAGAAATGGAAAAAGAAAAGACAGATTCCAGAGAGCCAGGATAGAGGAGGGGTCTGGGTGACCTGGCAATGGACGGGACATGGAGGAACAGGACAGGGAGGAACCCAAGATGACTCAAAAGTTTCAAGCTGGGGTGACTGCAAGGATGGAGGCATCATTACAGAAACAGAGAACTCAGGTGGAAGGGGCTAGTCTGGGCATTGAGGTTCATTATTTCAGCATTAGCTCCTTTTTTTTTTGTTTTTGTTTGTTTGTTTGTTTTGAGGTACTGAAAGAACTTCTAAGTAGAGGTTATAGCAAGCTGGTAGAAATTCAAGATCTACGGGAAAAGAACAAAGCTAGAGAAAAGATGTGTTAATACCACAAGTAAATGGGCAAGAAAGATTTTTTTAAAAAACGCTGCGCTGGCTGGTGTGGCTCAGTGGACTGAGTGCCAGTCTGTGACCCAAAGGGTCACTTGTTCGATTCCCAGTCAGACTACATGCCTGGGTTGTGGACCAGGTCCTCACTGGGGGGGTGCTTGAGAGGCAGCCACACATTGATGTTTCTCTTCCTCTCTTTCTCCCTCCTTTCTCCTCTTTCTAAAAATAAACAAACAAAATCTTTTAAAAATTAAAAAAAAAAAACCTTAGGGAATTCCTTAATGACTGAATAGTTGCATAAAGCTGGCTTTATATGGACAGAGGCCCAAGAACTAAACACTGGAAGTTAGGGAAGCCACATGGATTAGGACAAGGCTATGCATCAGAGAAAGGGAGGTGCTGGTAGGTATCTCTCTCCCTGTCTCACTCACTCACACATGCACAAGCACACACAACCTCTATATTTTCTCCCACAACCTCAAGAGAGCATTAGGGTAGCACTGCCCAATCACATGGAAGCCCTAGAAATGGGGAAATGAGGGTCCTCTCTTTTTTAACCTCAGAAAGCAAGAAAGTAAACAACAAGGCCCTTTTCCTGTACTAAAGGACCAAAGTCAGTGCCCAGCGCTTGTAGAAGCCTCTTCCCTGGACATAACGGAGGTAGGAGGGACTCAGATGGGCCCATTCACAAAGAGGGCATCACCTCCTCCCCGCTGTAGATGACCCTTGCAGAGCTCCACCCTAAGCTAAAAGACAGAGCCCTCCCTCCTGACTTGGTCTTTGGCAGGCTGAGGGGGATTAAGCCCTTCTTAACTAATGACAGCCCTCTAACAACTAGAGTTCTGACTAAAACATGATAGGACACATCCTCAGCTCTGATCTGCATCCACATGACTTCATTTACCTAGGGCCTTCAGCTCCACACCATGACCACACCATGGACCAGCATCCCAGTTCCCAAAAGCCCCTGTCCCGCCTTCCACGCTCTGATTGTGAGGCCTGGCCCTCACACCCAGTCACTGTCTAGGGCTCAGAGTCCTCTCTTTGCAAAACCAACTCATCTCAGGATCGGGACAACTCAGAGGTATTTATCTTCATACAGCTTGTGGAGAAACTGAGGCAGAGCAACAGAGAAGGGAATGCTTACTCAAGAATTCTGACTCCAGCATTCTGTAATCCACCCACTAGATGGCAATATCTCCTAAAAACTGCCTCATACACCATAATAAGGGGTGAAAATTCCTTTATAATAAAAGCCAACATTTGCGGAATAGGCATTCTGCCAGGCATTTGATCTGGATTATATCATTTTGTTATCATAACAATTCCGCATTTAGTTATCATAACAATTCCATGAGTTAGATTCCATTGTTATCCCTGCTTTATAGCCTTTGCTCAATTCAAAAAAGCTAGTAATAGACTCTATGTCCGTAGCTATTAAGTTTTCATTACCTCTCAATTAATCTGTATTTTTAAACACCAAATATACCTAAACCTTGAAGTAATGTATAATTTTTCTTTTAAACAATTCAAAATCATTCACTTAGAACTCAAAGGTCAGCAATTTTTTTCTGTGAAGGGCCAGACAGTAAATATTTTCAGCTTTTTGGCCATACCGTCTCCATCCCATCTACTCATCCCTGTCATCACAGTGGAAAAGCAGCCATAAACAATATGCAAAACAACAGGCATGGCTGTGTTCTAATAAAACTTTATTTACAAAAACAGGCAGCAGGCCAGATTTGGGCCCAGGGCCATAGGTTGCCAACTCCCAGACTTAGATCATCCTATTTGACCTTGCAGGGACTTGATGAATCGAGATTAAAATAGGTAAAGCAGCTAGAGCTATTTGCCCAACGTCTTCCAGGTAATTAGTATTGAGTCAGAATTAACGTCAGTTCTCCCGGCTCCCAATCCAGTACCTTCTTTGTACCACTTTATGTATCAGCATAGAGGCATATAGAGAAGATTAAGACCCCCAAATTCTGGAAGTGTGGCTCAGTGAAAAGAGTAATGAATCAGTTGTTGAGAAATCAGTCTACCAAGCTATGTCAACTGAGCAGGTCAAGTGTCCTCTCTGGGACCCAGTCTCCTCATGCATTAAGTGAGGGGGGCGTGCCTAGCCTAAGGTGGCACTGTGACAGCCAAAGGGTTCTGACAGCCTGGCTCTGCTCTAGGATTTGCCCGCCCCACCCCACACTCACTTGACGGCAGTGGTGAGGCGCAGGGGCCTGACGCCAGGCGTGGCAAAGCGCAGAGTGTTCATGTAAGCCACATGCTGCAGGGCATGGTTGAAGGTCTCCACATCATCCCCCTCCAGGGTGAGCAGGGACTGCGAGGGGTTCACGTGGACCTGGGCCCCAGACACAGACACAGCTGAGAGCAGGCCCACGAGGCAGGAGAGGAAGGGAGCAGAGGTAGAGGAGTGGGACAAGGGCAGGGGACAGGGGGCATGCCCGGAGAGAGAGATCTGGAGGAAGGGGCTATACCTTCATGCCTTTGCCCAGGCTCTCGAAATCCCTATAGTCCAGCCCCTCCCGACATGCATAGAGGCACTCGATGACCTCGCGGCTCTCCAGGCGGCCTGAGCGTACGCTGAAACCAGCCAGGTAGCCGTGGAAGTAGTGGTGGATCTGCAAGGGGTCTCCTAGGGCAGGAACACAGGGGCAGATAGGAGGTGAGAAGAAACTAGGAAATGAACAAGGGAAGGGGCTGAGAGAAAGGGCAACAGAGAAAGAACAGAAGGCTTGAGAAAGAAATGAAAAAGAGAAACGGGGAAACTAAAAGAAGGAAAGAAGAAAGAGAGAAGTGAGGCTAAATGGGAGATCGGAGAAGGCAGAGAGAAGACAGAATAAACCAATGGAAAAGAAGAGTGAATGCTAGAAGCAGCAGAAATGAGGAAAGCTTCCAGGACAGGGAGAAAGGGAAAAGGGAAAGCAAGACCAAGGGAGAAAACAGCAAGAAGGAGGAGGCTGAAAGAGAGGGCATCTTCAGTGGCATGCAAGGGGACCAGGGTGAATGTGTGTGAGCTTCACAGCTGCCCAGATCCTCCCTGCTGTGTGACTGACTCCTGCCTCCTGCATCCCAGCAGGAGAACTCCTTCACTTCATTCTGTAGACAGTAAGGGACACCCAGCCAAGCTCCGTCTGGCCTTAACTCATCAAGGAAACCCTGCCCTGCTGGCAGTCACAGGCAGTTCTCGGAGGCTCTGCCCCCTGGTGGCACGGGAAGCAGAAAATAACAAGGCTGGACAGGCTTTGTGTGGGAAAGGGAGCACAGAACAGAGAGTTAAGGGGAGAACTCTCTAGTCTCCAGTTCTTCCACACAGAATACCTTGTGTGGTGTCCGTACTGTTGTCTCCTCCTTTTTCCTTCTCCTTGTTCTTCTCCTCTGGAGAAAAAAAGAGGCAGTGAGCTCAAGGTTGTGGGAACAGATTGACAGAGAGGAAGAAGAGCTCTTCCCTGCTCTGACCTGCCCTTTTAGGACTTGCAACCTCTCAGGTGAGTCCCAACCCTTCTTTTAACATGCCTCAATCTCTCAGGCCTCTGGTGTAGACAAACCCCTAAATATACTGCTGAAGGAACACAGGGGCCCCGCTAAGACTTCCAGAAGGAAAACATTTCCAGAAGGAAAAGAAAATGAAAGAAGTAGCTTAAGAGTTGGAAGATTGATGACTCTCTGAAGGGTTACTGGCCTCCAACAGTGGGAAGGGCTGTGGAAATCATCGTCACTGTGATGGAATGAAGTGGAAACTGGTTGAAGTGACAGAAAGATTCTGGCGATGCCTGAGAAGGAAATTCTTCCCAGTCACAGGCAGTGGCCAGTTTAATAGGTGGGAGATAACAAGGGGCTGTGGTGTCCAACGGAGATCTTTCTGAGTCTCCCTGCCCACCTGCAGGGAGACACGTGAAGTCAGGCTGCCCCTGCTCCTTCACGAGTCCTAAGCCACAGGAAACTCCAGCCTTTAGCATCTTTACTGAGAAGCTCCGGGACTTACCAGTCCAGCAGGCCCCGATCATGAGAGCAGGTTCCCTTCGGGGTGGGTGGATGAGACCATTGTCGTGGATGAGGGCAGGGTCAAAGGAGATGCCATCAGCATAGAGTGTGACTGTGGGGAACTCCAGGTTCAAAGCATAGTGGTGCCACTCATCGTCACAGACCTAGGGGAGTAGTAGGGTAGAGGCAAGAATTCCTCAGTTACATCATCTTCAGGGAACGAACAAGGCACTGCCCCATCTCCTGGGAATCAAGGGATAGTCCCTCATATGCCTAGTTCTACCATCAGGGCTTACTAGCAAATTGTTGCCTACCCAACTCTAGGAATAACATCCTTGCACAAAATCTATCAGGTAACTCACCTACGACCTAACATTTCACTCTTCAGGTAAATCTTTAAAACTATAAGCATTTCTATGAGAAGTAACACACAATTTTGTGAATTAATTGATGCTTGGAACATGCTAAGCTCTTTCCTACTTCAGGGCCTTTGCATTTGCTTTCCCCTCTGCCTAGAACACCCTCTCCTCACAGCTATTTCCAATCCTATAGGACCAAGCTTACATTTCACCTCAGTCAGGCCTTCTCTGAACATCCAATATAAGGTGAGTTCCCCAGCCTTTGCCTTCCCCTATTCTCTACCTCAGTGCCTTACTTGTTCTTTCAGAGCCTTTATCACAACTTATCATTTTTATATGTCTGCCTATTTTCTAAAAATCTATCTCCAACTAAAATGCAAGCTTAATAAAGGTGAAGATTTTGTTCTTTCTCATACTCTATTGTCGCTCCAGGACTTACCGGAATGACAGGGATGTAACTGATATTTAATAAATATTTGTTGAGTAAATAAGAGTGAGTAAAAGAAAAATAGAGGGAGTAATGTTACCAATATTAGCAACAAGGGGGAAAATCAAGAAGTAGCAAATGGCAGACTATCTCTTTAAAAGAGTGCCACAAAAAGCAGAAGCTTTTGTAGACAGCCCTCAATTATCCAGTTTGTGGATTTTCTAGACCCTTCATTTCCCTTTCTCTTCCACTTCCTGCCTTTTTTCAGCCATTTGCTTAATCAGCCATTCCACCAGGGCTTGCAGGAAAAACAGGAGATGGAATCCCATTAGGCCCCACTAGTCCTTGTGGTTAGCTTGGAGAATGCAACTGCTGGCTCAAGAGAGGATTTTACTTTTTTTTGGTCCATTTTTATTTATCCCACATAATCATGGATAATAACAATGAGAATTAACATGTATACAGTCCTTTTCAGCTTACAGTCATGTGCAGAATAACGACATTTCAGTCAACAACCTACCATATAAACGATAATGGTTCCATAAGACTAAATGGACCCAAAAAATTCCTGTCACCTAGCAACATCGTAGCTGTCAAAATGTCATAGTGCAACATATTACTCACATGTTTGTGGCGGTGCTGGTATAAACAAACCCACTGCACCACCAGTCATATATGAGATAGTACATACCATTACATACAGCACGTAATACTAGATACTGTTAATAAATGACAATGTTACTGATTTATGTATTTACTATACTTTTTATCATTATTTCAGAATGCACTCTTTCTAACTATTAAAAAAAAATGTTTTCTATAAAAAAGTAAGAACTGTTACGTCAGCAACAGCCTCATACCTCTCGTGTGTACCATGTGTCTTGATTGCATCGTTTTCTCTAGTGCTTGATTTCACTTTGTGTAGTTTTGCACGGTAACATGCTGTACAGGCTTGTAGCCTGGGAGCAATAGGCTATCCCATATAGCCTAGGTGTTTAGTAGGCTATACCATCTAGGTTTCTGTGAGTGCGCTCTGTGATGCTCACACAATGACAAAATTGCCTAACAACGCATTTCTCAGAACATCCCCATCGTTAAGTAGGACGACTGTATAAAGATTATATCAATTAATTCTACAACTCTGGAATATAGAATTCTTATTATCCCCCATTTAATAGGTAAATTAACTGAAGTTTAGACATATTAACCACGTTTTCATGGCTAGTAAATTCCCCTGGCAGGACTCAAACCCAATCTGTGTACCTGAGAATCACTTATTTTCTCAATTACAACATGCTAACCGCTTGAGAGTCAGAGATATGTACTGTTAAGGTTCTAGATCAGAAAGAGATGAAATAAAACAAGGAGTGGGGTAAGATGGCAGGTTGGGTATGGTGTTAGTAGTAACTTGTTCCATATTACCTTTTAATCCAGGAGTGCTTTTTGTAGGAGACAAGCCTTGGAAATAGAGAACAAGAGAACTTGGGGGTATAATGGTGAGGAACGGAATGTGGAGAATGAAAGAGGGGGCAGAGGGCAACCCCAAAACTTCCTAACCCTGCCCTAGGACCCTCCTTCCTGCAAGTAAGTTACATGCGCCCATCTTTCTGGCATTGGCCTCACCTGCTCCAGCTTCCAGAGGAATTTGACTGGGCGGGCACTCTCAAGCAGAGGCCAGTAGAGGAAGGCAATTCTGCAGCCATGGACCGTCAGTGAGTAGTGAGAGAAGCCGTCCTCTGAGGGAAGAAGATGGGGATGGGGGTCAAACACAGGGGCAAGAACAGGTTCAAAGCGCCAGGAGGGAGCGGATGCCAGGGTTCTCTTTACCCTCACGTAGAGGCTCTCACTCCTGCATTCACTAGTCTTCTCCCCTCATTCACTCACACACTCCAGTTCAGCTGATAACTAGAGCTTCTCTGGCACTCTGATTGGCTGAGCGTGGCACCAGCCAGCCTGCCCCCACCCAGATCATTATTGGTCCTTCCGTTAATAGAAACATCACGGGTAACAATCTTATTCAGATGAAGAGCAATGACCTCAGAGAAGTGGCAGGAATGAAAGAGATCAAGCCAAGACCTCCTCCTACTCCCCCCACCCCTAGAAGGATGTGTCATTGCATACTTAGTGATGGAGTCAACTAGCCTTTTTAAGACGAAAATGAGATGGAGTGGAAGAGAAAGAATGGAGCAGACCCAGGCTTTCCCATCACAATGGAAAGGCTTTCATGGGGGCAGATTCGGGGAGGAGTCCACGGATAGGATGCAGGGGGACTGGGCAACTGCAAGTGAGAGTGGCAGCGAGCAGTCCCTCTGCACTCTGACTGATGTGGGATCTCAACTTACGTTGGGAGCAAATCATAGAATTTCAGGGAGTACCAAACCTAGCACTGCCATCTTACAAGTGAAGAGAGAGGAAGTGACCCATCCGCAGCCGTCGCCTGGACAGGAATAGAGGCAGGACATGAAGCCACTCTCTCCCACTCTCAGACCAGTGTCCTGAGGAAGGCTCACCATTCTGCACAGTGTTACACACGATGGTTTCCTCTTCCTTCTTGCCCTTGTTGGGAGTTACACCATGCTTCATCCAGAAGGACAAGGTAAAGTGGTCACTGAGGCTGTCCTGGGGCCCAGAGCCCAGCCCAGCTGTGCCACCCACGGGCACCTGCACAGCTTGAGTGCCATTGAACCAGTAGATAAGGCTGCTGTCCTGGCTGTAGTGCACTGAGAGTCCCGCTGTCCAGTTGGCATTGGGGCCAGGCATGGGCAACAGATCCACCTCCCCAGTGGCAGCACCTGCAGAACCCCCAGAAGGCACATGTGTCAGAGCTGAGTGACGGCAGATGGGGAAGTGCAAGGCAGCAGGGAGAGAGTGATGAGAAAAAATCACCTGCAGTTCATCTCACCACCTCTTCTGGCCTTTCAAAGACAGAGAGGGAGGGATGGACCTCCCTTTTAGGAATACCTCCCCCCAGGTATTCTCAACTCTTCATCTTTCCCTAACATTGTCCCACAATATATCTGGTGACTGTCTTGTGCTATAATTATGCATCTTTGCCAGTAATATATTTATCTTTTTAGGCCACAAGAGCTAACTACATGCCACAACCCTGTGAATATATACACCTCTAGATGAGCAAAAGAAGATATAAGGCAGATTCTTAAGAAAGAGGCAGAGAAGGGTCATGTAAAGGCTGGGTGGGAAGGGACAGGTCCAGGGGCTAAGGGGTGCACACCTACCGCAGAGTTTCCGCAGTGCCCGCTCCGAGTAGTTGTCTCGGTCGCAGCCCTTGGCCACATGGCTGGTCTGCAGCTCTATGGTGGCCTGAATATTCCAGAGAGGTTCATCACAGGTCTCCAGGCGGATACCAGGGAACAAAGCCAAGCTCCCAGCCCCTGGTGCATATTCAATTCTTTTGTTCCAGCCTGCATGGGTGAGACGGAGAGGGCAGTGGCGAAACAGAAAACTAAGGTAGCTCCTCCTCCCTGTCTATTCTGCCCTTGCCATTCCACAGTCTCGGGCTCCCCCAAAAATGGCCATCCAGGGTAGACAGTTGCAAGCCTGCACCCAAATATCCCTCCCCTGACTCCTAGCCACGGCTCCAAGACTGTCAGTAGATGAGTAGCAACGCAGGGCTCCTCACCTTGCCAGCTGGGTTTACAGGTGGGCTTCACCTGGATCTCCACCTGGGCGTCATCTGCCGCCCGCTTCTTCCCACAGTCATAAGCTGTCACTGTAAACTTGTAGAGTTTCTCACCACTGTACTGCAGCTTCTCTGTGTTCTCAATGTTCCCTGGGGTGGGGGTGAGGGAGGACAGAGAAGGTCAGGAGCACTAGCGAAAGCCTACGGAAAAGGGGGGAGGGGTGCGCTCTTGAGCTGATTAGGCAGCAGGAAGCTGGAAAGAAGGTATCTGGGAAAAAAAGGCTTCACATCTGGGAAAGAGGTGTGGAACAAGAATGTGAAGGGCAGAGAAGTGGACAGCTCAGCCCTGCGGTGTCCTGAGGGATGTGGGCACACAAGGTGGGCAGGGGCTGGACTTACCATCATTGTCGATGAGGAAGGGTGTGTTGGGCGTCAGGATCTCGTAGTAGCAGATCTGGCTGTACTGGGGGGAGCAGTCACCATCAATGGCTTCCACCCGCAGGATGCGGTCATACAGCTTCCCCTCTGTCACTGCAGCTCGGTACAGCCGCTCCACAAACACAGGGGCAAACTCGTTCACATCATTGACCCGCACATGCACGGTTGCCCTGCACGTGACAGAGCGGGATGGGGGGAGAGGACAAGTCAGCTAGCCCCATACCAGAGACTCAGGAGAGGCAGAAATCCAGACAGGGAATCAGAGCAGGACGGGGGCAGTATGTCCCTGAGGCTGACCCTCAGCCTGTTCCTGATGCCCATCCCCATGCTGAGTGTGCTCCTCCCCTTCCTCCTTGTTCTCCTCCTCATCATCACTCCCATGTATGGAGCCCTTTACCATCTGTCAGGCACTGTGGTGCATGCTTTCCACACAAACCATCTCCTTTCACCTTCACAGCAACCTCAAGAAGTAGGTGTCATCATTATCCCCATTTTACAGATAAAGAAAAGCAGATCCAGAAACGCTGAGTGTGTTGCCCAAGGCTATAAGAGGCAGAGCCAGAATTAGAGACCACTAAGCTCTACCATATATTTCTGTCTGTCTCCTGTCCCTAAACCCTGTAAACAGAGAGAAGAGGAATAGCTATCCAGTGAATGCACAGATAGAGGCTGCTGAGGGGCTTGGAAGGAGGGAGGAGGCCCTGCAGCAGGGGGCAGAGGCCAAGGGCTTCCTCACTTGTGGGACTTCTTGGTGTTGGCTCCATCAGGGCCCTCGCCACAGTCATAGGCCTGGATGGTGAAGGTATGCTCCTTCTGGGCCTCACAGTCCACTGGCTCCTTGGCCCGAATCAGTCCTTCTCCTGTTGCTTTGTCCAGAATCACAGCCTCAAAGGGCACCCCAGACCCGTGGAGCCGGAAGCCACAGATCTCACCTGGCCGAGGCGGTAGAGAAGGATGAGGCTCCTGCACCGTCTCCAGCATCTCCTTCCAGCCTCAGCCTCTCTGTCATGGGTTCCCACTTCACCTCACCTCCCAAACTCCTGTCCCTTATTTGTGCACATGGAAGCAATAATTATCAAGCATACAACTCCAGCACTAGTTTTTCCTGAGAAACAACCTCTCAAAGGTACCAGGTCTGAGATCTGGCAAAATCTGGATGCGTTTAACCCCTGTCTGCCCATGTCCTTCTCTCTGGCTATCTTTATTCAACCACCAGCTTCAGTGTAGCCCTTTCGGCTCCCTGAGCCTACTTTATCTTCCACTTTCCAGGGCCTCGTCCTCACTTCCTTATTGCTCTCCCTTCCAGGACGTCCCCTCTCCTCCCCTACTCTCTGCCTTCCCAACCCCTTTTCTCTGTCCTACCCGCCTTTCCATCCACCAACCCCAATCACCTGCATAGCGCAGGGGGGCATCCTTGTCCAAGGCAAAGAGTGGGGGGTTCAGCAGGACCGTGTTATCGTTCTCCATGACGATGCCCTGGTATTCTGCCTCAATCCATGGCTTGTGCTTGTTGGCTGATGCCCCAGGGAGAGGAAAGGAAAAACCTGTGAGTTGGCCCTCCACTCCCACACAAGCCTCATTGACTTAGACAAACTCACACTCCAGTATCACCACCCTTTTCACACTCTGCAGAAGCACCTGCAGTGAAAAAAAGTGAGGACAAGAAATCAGCTATTAAAGGAGTCAGAGGTTCAGAGGGAGGTCACAGCCCTCTTCCATGGCAAGATAGAAAGTTCCATGGCAACAGCCTGCCCTGGAGAGAGGGGTTTCCCATCTCCCCTGGGAAACATGGTCGGAGGGCGGAGAACTTTCTTTAGAGACCTCAAGTGCTGGAGAGTGGAGATTTAGGATTCAGGAAACAGTGGTGGGCCATCCGGAGGCCCGGGGAAAAGGAAGGGATAGGGTAAGGGAAGTGTTGAGATTAGGAAAAGAAGATCTAGAAGTTTCCTGAGATTTTGACTGTTTATCCTCTCCACTACCACCACCTCAACCACCCCATTTCAATCCTGATTCCTTTACCCTGCACTTCTCCCGGCCAAGTCCCAACCTAAGGCCATTCTCCCCGAGTAGACAGAAGAGGAGGAAAGAGAGAAGAGAAAATATATAGGACAGAGGGAGGGGGACACAGAGGGGCAGGGAGAGAGCAGAGGAATCGATGTCAAATAACTGGACCCAGCAGAGCCGACATCCTAAGGGATTATCAAGCTGGCCTAGAAACACGACAAATCTCCTCCGTGCTTCTCACCCCCACAGTCAAGAGACACACTCGTAACCAACACCTCAATGTCCCCCCGCCAAATCCACCAAACCCCACGCTCCCTGAACCCCACTTTTTATACAGACTCATAACTTAGTCCCAACTCTTACCTACCCCATCCTACTTCCCTTCAACCACCAGCCCATTCTGGATAGATAAGGGGCTGACTCAGCCTCCAGACCGCCCCATCTCCTAGCAGACTTAGCTCCCCTGTGCCCCCGGCCAGCCCCAATCTCCCACTAGCCTGATAAGGGGCTATGGGAAGGCACAGCATGTTCCCTTCCCTTCCTACATCACCTCCCAACCACAGCCCCCACTGCCTGTTCTATATAATCCTGTCATGACAACCCCCAGGCTCCCACAGCACATTCATGATGACCCATCCACTGATGGACATGGACAGAGGAAGACACCACCCAAAAGGACGTCACCAAAGAAAACTCATCCCCAGAATGTCACAGTGAGCAGGAAACCCTGATTTCCACTTTTCCCCCCAACTCCACCCCCAAAAAGCCTGTTATCTGAAAGTTTGCCCTTTTCTTGCCAATGACCACCACCACCCCATTCTCTCGTGGCAGAGGAGAAAGCCACAAGATGGTGCTCAGAAGGCAGCAGAGGAAGTGGCAGGAAGAGGCTAAAAAGCCAGGCTGAGGTCAGAGATTGAGGATGGAGGGGAGGCTCCCAGCAAGGCCGGCGCGGGACACCCTCTCCAGCCCTCGCCCCGACCCTGCTCCTCTCCCCTTAGCCTCCGACTCTCCTTCTGTCCATCTCCTCTCACTCACTCCTGGGCTCCCTGTCTTTTCCTTCCTTGACTCTCCCCTTCCCGTTTTCCCCACCCATTCTTCCTGATTTCCCTTTGATTCCTCTCTCTTTTCGTGCCTCCACTTTTACCCTTCTCCAGCCCCTTCTTACCCCCCTCCCACACCTCATCTCCCTTCTCCCTCGCAGCTTTCCCTCTCACCACTCTTGTGGCTCCCCCCACAGACCCACTTCTGCCCTCTCCTGCCTTTCTCCTCCTACCTGAGCCCTCTTCCCCCACCCTCCCTCCCTCCCTCCCTCTTGGCCCCTCTGTCAGCCTCGCCCAGCTGAATTTATCTGCTGTCTGCCAGAGAGGGCAGCTCTGGTAACCCACAGCCCAGCTGCATGCAGGCATAAGGGTATGGATGCAGAGGAACACGCCAAAACATACGTGCTCCGAATTGCTGAGCTGCAGGGAAGAGTTTCTCCCCAGGACGGGATGGAGATGAACCAGATGGATCTGCCACACACTCTTAGGGCAGGCACACCTCAGTGAAAATGGAGAACCTCCCAGAGACGCTTCTCGCCCCTCAGGGCAAGTCCTTCCGAGACCTGAGATATCTTCTACAGGGAGGAACTGGGAGAGGGGGAGAGAGAAACCCCAGACTGGGAATAGAGACCAAATGGAAGCAGAAGCACATGGGTAGAGATGGGCCAGACCGGAGGATGTGGCAAAGGGGCTGCGAAGGAAGGGAGAAGGGGCAGGTCTGAGAAAATGGATGGGAAGGGGGATGGTGGGAAGAACCAACACCTGTCATGTGCCAGAGAACCTCAGTGGCCCCTGCCCACCCCTACCCCACATCGTTTTGCCTGATACCCCTCTCTTAGTGCCCCCACCTCCCACCTCACTCACCTTTGTTACAGGAGCTGAAGGGAAGTAGGGAGGCCAGCAAGAGGGGCAGCAGCAGGAGGGTCATGGTATGGTGCGGTGTAGGGCAGGGCAGGGCCAGGCGATTACTCCCCCCTGGGAGCCTCCAGCCCCTTAGTGCACCTTGGGGGAGGGATGCAGGGAGGGGAGGGAAGAAAGCGGGCAGCAGGGCAGAGACAGACAGGAGCCTGCCACCCACACTACTCCATAGAGCAGACCTGGGCAGACCCCAACCTGGGTGGTTGAGGTGGGGGACTTGCAGTGGCTTCTCGTTCGCTCTCCAGCCCCGCGTCCTAGCTCTCTCGCTCTCGCTCTCTCTCTACCTCTCTCCCCCTCTCTCTCTCTCTCTCTTGCCCACCCCATCCCCTCTACTGCAGGATGACGTAAGCACAGCCAGACGAAGATTGATGGGGCCACAGGCCAATCGGTTGACTGGGAGGGCCAGGTGCTGCAGGGGGGGAGAAAACCAATGGGCGGGGGAGCTGGGGCGGGAGAATGCGTTATGGCTCTTTCCCGGGATTGCAATTTGCGGGAGCAAGGAAACTGCGGGGGCTGGAGAGGAAGCTGGAAAGCCGTGGAGGGGGTGGGAAGACGGACATGGGGAGAATCGAGAAGCTGAAAACCCGGGGTGGGGAAGGGAGACGTCAACGGAGACCTGAGGGAGGCGAGGAGGAACAGTCTCCACGTCACCCCACCCCCCAACTCTGCATTAACCTCTTTACACAGCCCATTCCATCAGCAAGTCCCTGCTGCGTGCCTCCTGGGAACCGTGAAGTAAAAACCACAGTCTGAACCCGAGAGATCCTAGCCTTTCAGTTTCCAGCCTCAACCAGGTCTCTCTGAGGAAACCAAGGGATGGTCAGCAGGACGGTGGGACTGGAGGAAAAGTGAAATATTTGTGCCAGGCGCGTTCACACACCTGTCGGGGCAGTTCACCACCAGGTGTAATTTTTCCCATTGCCTACCCTCCCTGCCGCCCTCTTCCCGAATTTCCCACCTTAAACCATGATGAATCAACCCAGTTGATTCTGGAACCAGAGAAGTTGGTATGTTTGAGAAGTGGGGGAACTGGGGGCGGGGCACACAATAATTTAGGCACACCTCCTCCCACCGTGGGAATACTGTTAAGCGTTGGTTGTCCAAGGGCTGGGGGCTGGGGAGAAGGAAACCCCTGGCTCCCCAGCCAAAGAATGTAAAATTCTCCAGGGATAGCCAACCAAACTCCTCCCTCACCTTCGGCTCTGGCCTTGGAACTCAACACCTCCTTAGGCTGCTGACAGCCCCCTCTGCTCTTGGGAAGGGAAGTTTCTCCACCTCCTTCAGAACGGCCTTACAGGCCTGAGTCTGGAGTGCAGCTCAGGGAAGCTGTCTGGAGGAGTTGCAGGAGGCAGTGCTATAGGATTTCTTCACTTTGGCTCTTGGCCAGCTGGCTGTCCTTCTTCTTCCCCCACCTTCTACCTTCATACTTTTCAGGATCCCTTACTCAGTCCCAGGATCTCAGGATATTGCTAGAACTCATCCCTGGGTGAGCCCAGAAGAGCCCACACTCCACACAGCAAGAGGAGCTCCTCCCAGGGGGCAGCACCTCCCCAGGGCTCTGGTATGGTTCCCAGGCTTTCCAGAAATGGGCTGGGAGCCAAACTGACCTTTGGAAAAGCTCAAGTCTTGGATGACTGACAGCCCTAGATCCTGCCCCAGGTTCCTTCCTCAGGAAAAGCCAAGGTCAAGCACAACCTTGCCAAGTCCCTGCCCCTCCCTCAGGCAGCAGACACCAGCCCAAACTCATAATGAGGGGAGGGAGGAAGTCTGGTAGGAGCTCTTATTGCAACAGGGCCCCAGCTCTATAAAAACCCTGGTCGTAGACCTTTACACAAGCCTGTCTCTCTGTGTGGAGGCCAGCCTGGAGTCTCTCAGCCCCACCTGCCAGACAACTCCCCTCCCTCCTCATCCTGTCTTCTCTATCCTCCTGACACCTTGATTTCCATCTTGGCCAGCTTGGACAATGCCTCCCAACCTCACCGGCTACTATTGCTTTGTCTCGCAGAAGAACATAGAGGATTACCTGCAAGCCCTAAGTAACGGCCTCACTATTCCCAGACCCCTTTTTCTCCCCTTTTCCCTCTCCCTTCCTGCCTCTCCATCCCACTGAGAAGGGGAAATGCCGGGGTTGGACCATGTGGAAAGGCTCAGCAGCTGGCACCTGTCTTGGGATCCATCTCTAGCCCGGGACATTGCTGGGAAGGAGTAAATCCACGGCCCAAACCCAGCTGAGGGAAAGCTCACGGCCCCGAGGTGCTGCTGCAGGTGGGGGTACCCCTGGCTGGCTGGCTGAGAGGACCCTGACTAAAAGATAACCCCCACAGACATCAACGTGGCTCTGCGGAAGATAGCACGGCTGCTCAAGCCCGACAAAGAGATTGACCATCAAGGCAACCACATAACAGTGAAGACCCTCAGCACCTTTCGCAACTATGTTATAGAATTCCAGGTGGGAGTTGAGTTTGAAGAGGACCTAAGGATGGTGGATGGACGAAAATGCCAGGTACCTTTCCTCAGGCTTGGGGGAGGGGATGTGGATAAGCAGGTAGGTGCCTCTTAACAATCCAGGGCAAAGCAATCTTCCTTCTTTTCCTTCCTAGCTTTTCTCACTATCACCATCCTAATTCAGGCCCTCAGTTCTCACCTGGTGCCCAAAATTAGTCCTCGGTCTTAACCCTTCTCTAAACCCCTCTGCATACTGTAGCCACAAGGACCTACCTAACATGTAAAAGTGACCATGTCATTCCCTTACTTGAACCCTTTCAATGACCATCTACTACACTCCAGATAAGGTTCATAGGCTTCACATGGCCCACGAGGGTCCTGCCCATGTGCACACTAGGTTAGAGCCTCTGAGAACTATTTGCCCTCTTTTCTTGCCTCTCTACTGTTACTTTCCTTGCTAAAAATTTCCCATCAGCTTCAATCTAATTAACTCCTCACTTTCTTGAAGATTCTGCTCTTCCTTTCTCACTCCCATCCTCAACAGCCTTTCCTGGTATCATAGATAGCCATTTGCTGCTATATCTGATCAGCAAATGGGTATCTTTGTGACTTCACCCAGCCACAGCAGGGGAAATGACCACCAAGGCAGGCTGTGGAGTCCCCAGGATAACAGACTCCCGGTGCTCTCCACTCCCACTCTCTGCCTGCCCAGCTCTTATCACCAGCCCAAAGGACAAAAAGAGCAGGTCACCTCAAGCAAATGAGCAAACATTTGCTTACCCTCTAGCCTTTGACCCTATCCATCACCAAAGAGTCTTTTTCCCCTTAGCCTCTATAAATCCACTCTGCTGCATTTCTTTCTGCTTCTTGCATGTTCCTTTTGGTCTCCTTTTCAGACCCTAGGTCCCCTAATAGTTTCTTAAACTGGGTTTTTCCTCAGTATTTTATGCTTGACTTTCTCTCTCTTGTCTGGACACCATCCATGGGCCCAGTTATCTACACCCATGCTTGCAGCTACCAACTACAGGCTGCCATTGATGTGTATTCTCCAGCCAGACCTACCTCCTGAGCTCCAGGGTAAAGTTTTTAACTGTCTGCAAAATGTTTACATCTGCATGACCCAAGGTGAAACCCAAAGTCATTATCTTCCTACCCCAACCTATTCCTGCTTTTGTATTTCCTGTCTCTACTAATGGCAATAACTAGCAGGACAAAAGAGCTGGGAGTAACGGTGAATATCTCATGACCCGTTACTTCTGGACTCTGAACACACACACACAACATGAATGTATCCACCACATCGAATTGATCAAGGAGTCTTTATAACTTTTCTACACTTTCCCATACATTAGCTACTAGCCATATACAGCTATTAAACACTTTAAATGTTACTAGTCCAAATTAAGGCACACTACAAGTGTAAAATATACAGTGGATTTTTAAGACAATACAAAAGAGAAAGTAAAATATCTCAGAAATTTTTATAGAGTACATGCTAAAATTATAATATTTTGCATAATTTAGGTTAAATAAAATATATTATTAAAATTAATTTTACCTGTTGCTCCTTATTTTTCTAATATAGCTACTAGAACTGTTTCAATTATATATAAGACTTGCATTTAAGACCCATCACATTTCCACTGAACACTGCTGTTCCACATGGCTCTCCTCTGTTCCTTCCTAGCTTTTCTCACTATCACCATCCTAATTCAGGCCCTCAGTTCTCACCTGGTGCCCAAAATTAGTCCTCGGTCTTAACTCTTCTCTAAACCCCTCTGCATACTGTAGCCACAAGGTCCTATCTAACACGAAAAAGTGTCCATGTCATTCTCTTACTTGAACCCTTTCAATGACCATCTACTATACTCCAGGTAAGGTCCATAGGCCTCACATGGCCCACGAGGTTCCTTCCCATGTGCACACTAGGTTAGAGCCTCTGAGAACTATTTGCCTTCTTTTCTTGCCTCTCTACTGTTACTTTCCTTGCTAAAAATTTCCCATCAACTCCAAACTAATTAACTCCTCACTTCCTTGAAGATTCTGCTCTTTTTTCCTCACACACATCCCCAACAGGCTTGTCTAGTATCACAGATACCCATTTGCTGCTCTACCTGATCAAGATTTTGAGCTCCTTGTTTAGCAGAGTCTATCTTATGGAAGGCTCAATAAATGTTGATTGGAATGCCCAGGCTCAACCAGCTCTGACTCAGGGGGCTTGATCCTTCCTTCTCAGAGACACTTCAGCTGTTCTTGAAACTGAGAAAAAAGAAGAGATTCCTTGGTGGGACTCCCAGCTTATCTTTTTTCTTTCCCAAATCCCCTCCAAGGTCAACCAGAAGGATCCAGAGGACAAAGTCCCCATTCTTCATCACCCACTCCCCAATTTCATCCTGGTTATTCTGCTCCATCTCTGTCCCACTATAGACAAACTGTGCCCCCTCCTCAGTGGCTCTTAGGAGTGGGGGATGGAAATCCTAAATCAGAGCAACTTTCTCACTCAGAATGAAAGGGCTGGAGCAAGACAGTATCTGCCGTGGTGGGAAAGGGGGCAGCCCAGCCAGGGTGAGTGGGACTGCCCTTCAGTCTTCCTTTATTCCTGCCCTGCCTATAGACCATAGTAACCTGGGAGGAGGAGCAGCTGGTCTGTGTGCAGAAAGGGGAGGTGCCTAACCGAGGCTGGAAGCACTGGCTGGAAGGAGAGAAGTTGTACCTGGTAAGCTGGGTGAGGTCTGGGAAAGGGGACCCAAAGGAGTATGTCTGGGAGAGGGCCCCCCAGCTAGGATTCATTCCTTTGCACAAATCAGATAGGTCTACTACTTCAACTCCTGCCCCCTTTCCAAAGATAGCAACCAAGGAAGGGAAACAAGAGCACTGGGAAGAGCAGAGAGAAGGTAAAATAGAGTGGCCAAGATGGGCCCTGGCTACAAGTCAACTGAATGTCCATAAATCATAACTGGAGAGATGGAGGCTGCACCATTTCCCATTCCCTGACCCAGCTACCTTCCTTCCTCTGGAGTGAAAAGTTGAGGTCTGGAACAATGATACAATTCCTTATTTATCAAATGCTCTAGCTGATTTATCCTGAAAGATTAAATAGAGGTCAAGGATCCTGAGAAAGTAGCTCCAGCTGGCAAGTTCTTTCCCCTCATCATTCCTACTTTATCCCCAGGAACTGACTGCAAGGGATGCAGTGTGCGAGCAGGTCTTCAGGAAGGTCAAGTAGCCGGAGAGGAGCCGAGGGCTGCTCCAGACAGCACCGGTCCCCAGACTCCTCTTGCTTGTGCCCCTTTAAGCCCAGATTGTCCCAGGTCATCAGTCCCTTTCTCAGGCCACTTTCCCTCCCTCTGAGTCCCTTGTCACCCCCCCCCCATGTTAATCTATAACTTGCAGCCCCCAAGGCCAAAGTCATTTCTTTCTCACACTGCCCGATAGTGACCTGATATCCAGTTCAAGGTCTGGCCTCCTGTATGAAAGAAACAGGCAAAGGGGAAAAGGCTCTTGAGAATAACCAATCTCAACTGTCTTTAGTTCATCTGGCCTCTTATTTTTCCATCTAAGAAAGAACTAAGCTTTGAGCATTTGGCGGTTAGTGAAAACTATCCTGGTGGACCTTTTGGAAAACTGTGCCTGGGGTTCAAGAATTTAAACAGGAGCTAATGGTAGTCTTTTTGTTCATTTCCTTGTCCTTGTTTTGGAAGAAGGCATCATATGCTCAATGGAAAAATGCCCAAGGCACAGCCCTACCTGCAGAGAGTTCAGTTTACCAACATCTGATTGCATTATGGCTCTTATACTTTCATCCTACATGTTGGGGAAGAAGGAGGGGACTGGATAACACGCTTCGTACAGTACTGGGGGAGCTTCTAAGTAGTGACCTGGCTTCCATGTCTGCTTTGAGAAGGGCAGGCAGCAAGAAGGCCAGAAAAGACTGAAAAGGGAAGCAGATAGAAGATATAAGGCCAAGGGCTAGAAAGATAAGGAACATGGGGATGTGAAGGCAACAGTAGGAAAAAGACCAAAAGACCTGGCTCTAGAGACCCTCTACTTAAAATCCAGCTAGACTGGAGACAGAGAATAAGGGGGAGAACTGAGAACAGCAAGGCCCCTCCCTTAAGGTCCTAGAATCACTGTCCTATTCAAGTTCAGAGCCAGAAAGATAGGGCCTATTCAAGTTCAGGGCCAGCTCTAACTTCTGGCACCTCCCTACTTCCAGTGGCCTTGGTTCTTTCAGAATAAAAGTACTTTGGAGCAAGAGTCAGAGTGAAGAGGACTCAGTGTGGTGTGGGGACAGAGCCTGGCTGGGGTTGGGGGGCGGGATTGTTGGAAAGTCCTTGGCCTGTGTTCATTAGCTGAACACTTCTGCCCCCTCTTCCTGCAAAGACTAGGCCCTCTACACATTCAGGACAGTCACTGGGGCTCTGGCCAAGAAGTACTAGGCTTGCAACACTGACCCTACCATGTACCCTGCAATGTATTTGGAAAAGAACAAGAGCAGAACTGAGTGGAACCAAATAGCTTATCCCTTGCCCAGCCTCTCTGCAGATGACCTCAGCAGAGTGGAGAGTGCAGAGCCAACCTCTCCGACAAGCTGCCCATCAGAACCTCTGAGGGCTCCTGGGCCCTACCTTGTCCCTTTCCAAGGTAGAGAGAAGCTGAAGGACGATGCTCCAAGTATTTTCACCCATTGCCTTAGTCACCAGGTCAACACATTGTCCCAGCCGCTCTGAGTTCACGGTGCATGCCCAGGCCTCTCCCCACAGGACTGTTCTCTGTGCTCTTCATGCCAGTTCAGTGCCCCTCGCTGGAGTCTTGCCAGGACCCTGACCCAGAAGCTTGAAGGCCTCCATGGTGACTGATAGGCCCAAGTAAAAGCAGCCTCAGTGCCCCAAAGCTCCTGTGACACAAGCGTCCACACTGAAGGTCCACATCGTCCACTCAACCCCACCCCTCCAGGAGTCAGAGGCTTGAAGGAACACAAGCAACCAGGGGAGGACTGAGCAGCTTCCGAGACATCTACAAAAGGGTGAGCGCCTGGGCACACTGAGACAGTGAAGGGCTCTGGCTGCTGTTTCCCCTATGAGCAGTAGGGGGCGCTTCTCACTGCAGTGGGAGCCAGAGATCCACCAAGTTGTCCTCCCTCCTCCACCACTTTCTTGGATACTCCATTCCCCACTAGACCCACACACAGACACTCACTCTCACACACACGAATTCCCAACCTACATACTCACCCTGACAGGACTCCTACTCTCATTCAAATCAGCCTGTTCCATTCATCCTCAGATAGAAAAGATGGTCACCAGGGGCACCAACATGTGAGTAAAGAAAAGGGAAGAGCCAACAGCCATAGATGGATGGATGGATCCCAAGGTGGGTCTCACCCCGCACTTCAGGAGAACACAAAGCTGTAGATACCAGGACTGACTCTGATTTTTTTTCTTTTTAATCAGTCTTCGATCCCAGGGAAATGATCAGAAATCCAAGATGTCTATTTCCATGTGAGATGAAATAACTGCACCCATCGAAGCCAGCCTCATGCCAGGCCCCTATCCCACTCCCACTCCCACTCCCACTCCACCCAGACACCAACAACCTTGTAGCCTGAGTGCCAAATGATCCTTTGGGTCAATCCAGATACCTCTGCTCAGAAGAAACTGGCCAACAGTGGACAGGAAGACTGGAGCAGGTGTGTGTCCTCTGAAGCAGAGAACCACATGCTGCCTAAGGACTCAGGCTTCACATTCTGGGAGAGGGCCCAAGAGGAGGCAGGAGGAGCAGTGTAGCCATGTACTCCTCACCAGTTGTCCCCCTCTCCCATCAGCCCATGTGCAGGAAATCCCTCAACCCTAAAATACAAAGACCATCCCAGCCAGGAGCCTGATCCTGGGGACACTTTGAGGCCACTGCAAATACTAGGATCCCAAGAAAGAACACAGGCCTGTCCACATTGACCCCTTTCCCCACCCAAATGTTATCCCCTTCCTAAGAGGCAAGAACTCCACCTGCTCTAGGCTTAAAGACCAAAAGGTCAGTAAGAGGCAGAAGTCCCTGACATGGCTGAGGATGAAGATGAGCATGGGGGCTGCCCCTGACTATGGCCTGGCCCCTCCCACCCCCACCCCCCGACCTTCTACAGGCTGTTCTTCCTCCTCTGGAGCTCACTGGTCCTGCCTAGCCTAAGGACCACCTCCAATACCCATACTCAGCTCTCTGGGACATCTCTCCCAACTTCCCGCCACCATAGTCCTCTCAATCATGACATCATGCCATCAGAGTCCCTGAGCACTGAGGTGGAGCCACCCCAGGGCTGTGTCATGATTATGGACAAGAGAGGATCAGCAAGAGTGCACAGGTACAGCAGGAGGTAAAAGGGCAAGGGAGCCCAATGGACAAATCAATAGGTTCTGTGCAGGTCTCTGGTGTAGCCGACCTGGGTTTGCATGGAGGGCGGAAAGAAATAAGCAAAGATGGTAGCCATGGCCTCTGAAGCCAGAGGTGCAAGCAATGGCCCTGCCTGGCCAAGGGCCAGAACCAGCACCCATCAGGCTCTCCCTCCTGCTTGCTTGAATCTCAGTCCACAGAAGGGCTCTGGGCTGGCTCTACGGGCCCCTGTTCTCCACACTGAATATGAACTGTCACCCGAAGCCATTTAGTTTCCAGGGCCAGGAGATGGAGCTGACCTTCCACATTCACCCTTCCAGCAAGAACAAGGAGACCTCTGTTCTCTCAAGGACTTCCTGGCCCACCATCTACCTGGGAGTGAGACTCCTGCCTCCACCTACCCACCTAGTCCCAAGCCTCAAGTCCCCCTCCCCCCACTTTTGTTCTGGCCACTAGGAAGAGGGGGAGCCCTAGCACCTTCAGTTCTGTCCCCAGTGGGTAGTGCCCAAGCTGGAGGTCAGCAGCATAGCCAGACCACTGGGTTCATGGATAAACCACTTGGCTCAGAGACCCTAGATGAACCCAAAATGGCACCCATAATTGCGAGGGAGAATTACATAATGGTCAGGTGAGCAGGCTCCCGTGTCAAAGAGCCATTTCTAACTAGCAGTTTGAGAAGACACAAGCCGCTGACCTAAAGTAAACAAGCTACATGTGCTGGTCATACAAGGCAGTACCAAGGATACTTCCTTCCTCCTAGGAATTTTGTAAAGGTTCCAGGCAAAATCACTCAGCATGTTACCTGGAATAGAGTAAGCATTGACAAAGGTTAACTATTATTACTTTCATTATCTCCTACCTCTTAACTTGATGATTGAAATTCCCTTAACTGGAAGCAAAGCCTTCTATTCTACAGTTAAGGATAAGGCATCACTGCCGATGCCCCTGAGGTCACACAGTGGCTTATATTTATACCAAAGTGTAAGTGACTGGTACCAAAGATTGAAAGATGGTAGAGCCCTCACCTTGGTTGGCCAGGCAGATAAAACATCTGAGGGGTGATGGGGATAGAAGGCAGCTGTTGCCTCCCGCAAGCCTTCAGAACCAGAATCTCTCCATGTATCCCGTAACCCCCTTACCCCCAGGAGGACAAATGTGTCACCCTGCAGGGTCCCTGCGTCACCACGTTGAGGGTCACTCTTACTCCTGCCAGCGAGGCTACAAGCTGCAGAGCAACAGCCACTCTTGCCTTCCCACCCATGAGAGAGGGAAGCTGATGGCAAGGCAGCTGCCCAGACTCAGGGCCACTGCGGAGTCAGCTCTACACAAAGCCATCAGCCTCCAAAGCCACCAGAGTCCCTCTTGGACTCCTCAGCCACAGTACACACTGAAGCTACACAAATCAAGGGGCTGGGCCCCCACGGCCGAGGCTGGGTCCAGGCCCCACACTCCTCCAGTCACCAGCTGCAGGTGCAGACATTTTTCCTCCACTCCCCCTGGCTCCTTACCCATCTTCCCTATGGATGCCAGCACCCTCTCCCCTGCCCTGGGGTTTTTTCCTCATGGTTTGCTCTTGCCTGAGAGTCCTCCACCCTCCTGCCCCTGCTCCCCTGCAGCATATCTCCTGTCACCTTTCTACCCTAACCAAGCCCCAGTGATTCTTCCATTCGTGCTTTAGTTTGGACCTCACCAGCTCTCCCTACATGAGACACGAGCCAGAAGGCAGAGGATTGACTTGAGCATCAACTGCACAGTTTTCCTTTCACACAAAGGTGCATGACCCTCATAAGTCTGTGTTGCACACATCTCTTCTACATACAGTATGTGGGGAGAGGTGCGTGTATTGTCGGTGTGGCCTTTCCATCCGCTGTTCTAGAAGACTGCTGCGAGCCAGCACCTTCCTCTCTCTCTCTCTCCCTCTCTCTCTCTCTCTCTGCTTCATGCATATGACAATAGCCGTGGGTATTCCTTATTCCTTGACTCAGGCAAGCAGACAGAGCAGAGCTAAAAGCACTGAATGAAGAGTCACTGTCATCTTGGGCAAATTATTTTACTCTGCGTGACTTTGTTTCCTCACAGGACTGGTCCATTCTGCCTTGATGTCTATAAATGATCTACTCTCTTGCCTTCTAGTCCTTCTACTCTCCTTCCCCGCTATTATCAGAAAACCCTGGCTCCCTCTTGGCCCAGCTGTAAGGAAACTACTGTCTTGTTGAATGTAACTAGAGCTTATCCTGTGAGGTTCCTAATGAAGAGAGAGCCCCAAGATGAGAAGGGGCTGCTAGGTCCCAAAGCACTCACTCCTCCTCCAGGTGGCTCCCCTCACCAACACTGCCAATCACCACCCCCTTTCCCCACCACCCCTTTCTTTCTGAGTAGCACAGACGGGACAAGGGTGCATTGTTTGAATAAGGATTTATTATAGTCTTGTGGAAACAAAGGGAACAAGAACAGAGACTAATACACAAGCTGATTATCTGAGGTCCAAACGCAGCCTCACCCATAAACTCCTCCTGTAGAAGGAAGGGATAGAGGAGAATACAGTGGAACTGCCTTGCTATTAGCAAGCAAGGCACATTCGCAGTATGTTTAGAGTCCTTTACTGAAGGGCTGGACTCGGGCTTGAAAATCCACCCAAAGCCCCAGGTTGGAAAAGGCATTCTGTCTGGTGCTTCTCCTTCGGGTCCATCCCCTCTCCTTTTCAATAGCTTCTTGGTCCTTTTTAACCCTTTCCTATTCTCCCAAAGCCCTGCTCCTCTTGTGTTTTGTCTCCTGTGGGTCATTCTTCCCTCTCCACAGCCCTGCCTCTCGACGGAGATGGGTGAAGGGGCCCTTCAGATCTTAAGATGGGGAGGAGAAGGCCAGGCTCACCAAGGGCACTGTGGCTTCGGGTTAATGCATCTGAAATACAGCATCCCTAGCAAAAAATAACATCCTGCATTTACTGTACTAAAATAACACATCTGCTTCTGAGACAGCCAGCCTCCCAGATGGCCCCAGTGACCCCTGCTTCCTGGCACGCCCATCCGTGCCGTCCTTCCCCTCCCTCAGTGAATCGGGGTTGGTCTGTGTGAAGAACTGAATATGGTAGAAGTGATACTATGTCACCTCCAAGGCTGGGTTATAAAATGTATTTTGGATTTTCTGTACAGTGTTATGCCTATAGCTAAAATATTGTATTATACACTTAAAACGTTTTTAAAAAGATAGTTGGGGCTCAGCCTTGCTCCATCTTAGATTACTCTGGGGAAAACCAGCTGCCATACGATGCAGAGAGTCAAGTGTCCTATGAAGAGGGCCATGTGTCAAGGAACGGAGGCCTCCTGCTCACAACCACAGGAGTGACGCATCTCAGATGCAGACCCTCCAGCCCGGGGCAAACCTTCAGATGGCTGCCGCCCTGGCCAGCACCTTGAATGAAGCCTTGTGAGAGGCTCTGAGCCAAAACCACTCGTCTATGCCCTTCTGATTTCCTCAGATAATGTGTAAGATAATACATTTGTTGTTTTAAAATGCTAAGCGTGTGATTTGTGACACAACAGATAACAAACACATATTCTCAATCTTGAATTTCATTACAAATGACCCTCATCCTAGCATCATAGCCTGAATTTTTGCCAAGCTAGCAAAAAAAAAAAAAAAAGAGTAATCAGTGACTTATGGCAGTAAAAGCCTGACCAGCCACAAAATGGTAGGACTCTAAACTCAGTATCATAGGCTCTTCCATGCGAACCCTAAGCCCAGACACTATCTGAGCACCCAGTACCAGGAGCCCACATCTCAGTGTCTGCCCTCCTAGAAGTCTAAAGGGTGATGTTCGAAGACAGGCAGGTATCCCCTTTCCTTCCTCTTTAAGATCAAAATAAAGGCTGCAGGAAACCTCCCTGGTCTACAACCCCCACCCTCATTGGGCTCTTCTCCGAACAGGACAACTAGTGGCTGCACCAGCAGAAATTGCAAAAATAAAAGCAAAAATAAAAATCCAAATTCTGAAAATATGTTTATGCACTTCCTACACTCAGGCCTACCTACTCCCTCTGCTTTCTCTCCCTCCTCCCCTGCACCCAACTCACAACTTTGAAGACTCCCCCTCTCCCTGCTTCTGCCCTTTGCCCCTTTGCAGTTAATGAGAAACAAAATTCAATGGAGGGAATGAACTGAGACAGCACGACATCAGGTGTCTTCAGAGACAGGCTCTCCAGGGTTGGCAGGATCCTGCCTGGCCTAAGCTTATAGCCAAGGGCAAAAAGTTCTTCTTTAATCACATGAGTTAAAGATGCCACTGAAGCCAAGTCTAAGCATCATCTTCAGGATCCATGACTTCATCCTTTTAACCTAGTCTGCCTTAGAAGAGCCATCTGGTCACAATTATAATTTCAAATACATATATTTTATAATTATTAAAGTGATTTAACAACATTATACAGAAATTTCACTAAACAGGGAAACATTTTTTTAAATCACCCCACAGCCCTCTAATAAGTCAATTATTTTAGACTCTTCTCATGTTTTCTATTTTTGTGAACATAGTGTACTTAGAATCTTGTAGCTCGTTTCCTTTATTTCCTTTATTCAATCCTCTCAACCTATATTTGGGGGCCCATACATAGAGCAGATGTGGACTTGGCTCTTTACTGGCTCATATTAGCTAAGGGGAAAGAGAGCAAAATAGACGTGAAGGATTAGAAATAACCAGCTCTCCCAGTTTGCCTGGGACTCAACCTGTTGCGGGTTTGGAAGTCCCGTGTTGCAGGAAGCCCCTCAGTCTCAGACAAACCAGGACGATTCCTAATAGGTCAAACAAGTTCACCATATTAAACCAGTTTAGAGATCAGAATTCCATTTTAATTTATCTGTTGCTTTTAGCCATGCCTCTTTGCCTTTCTTTATTAAAATGTTTCTTTTTTAGCGGTCACTCTAGGGCAGTTGTTCTCAAACTTTATACCCTTAAAAATCACTGAGAACCCTGAAGAAGTTTTGTCTATGTAGGTTGTATTTATTCATATTCACTGTATAAAAAATTTTCTCAGTGAATATTTATTCATATTCACTGAGAAAAATTTTAAAACATAAGGATACGTAAGCACACATTCCATTAGTTGTGAAGGGACAATGTCGTCACACCTCATGTGGCCTCTGGTCACTCCCTGGTATGCTCATGTGACAAAGAGGGAAAAACCAGCAAATAATATCTTAGTATAGTTATGAAAATAATTTTGACATCATAACCCCCTGGAAGGATCTCAGAGACACCCAGAGCTCCCCAGACCACAGATAGAAAACCACCACCCAGGAGAAAACTGCACCCTTTACGTCTGAATCCTTTTAGACTTATAGTTGGATGAAGAAACTTGGTAGCTGTATGAGTATCCTCATCCTTTATGCTACGATTTCCATGTATGTCACATCTACATGTTATAAACCCTGCAATCCTATAATTTTTTTCTTTAAACAGGCATGTGTATTTTTAAGACATTAATATATATATTTTATATTTACCTACAAATTTACCATGTCTCTTTGCCCATCCAGCCGCTGTGTTCTTCCATCTGGATTCCTTTGCCTTTGGCCTGAAGAACTTGAACAGCTCTCATAATGCAGATCTACTGATGACAAATTCCCTAAGGTTTCTTTTTTTCTGAAGATGATTTTATTTCATCTTCATTCTTGAAGAATATTTTCACTGGAAAAACAACTCTGCGTTGATTTTTTTTCCCCCAACATTTAAAGATGTTGTTCTACTGCCTTCTGCTCTGTGTCGTTTTTGATGAGAAAGCAGTGACATTGAAAATGTTGCTCTGTGTTTGTGGTGTGTTCCTTTTCTCTGGATGCCTTCAAGATTTGCTTTTTATCTTTGGTTTCCAGCAATGTGACTCTTATGGGCCTCGTGTGCTTTTTTTTGTTTATTTTCAATTCTGTTTCGAGTTTGCTGAGCTCCTTGAACCTATACATGCCATTTCCAAAAGCTGGGAATTTTCCATTCATTATTTCTTCAAATGTGGTTTTTTTTTTTTTTTTTTTTTTTGCCTCTTTCTCTTCTCTCCTTCTGGGACCCAAGAAGTCACCTATTAGAGTTTTTTCTTTTATATTGTCCCATAGGTCCCTCAGTTTCTGCTCATTAAAAACATTTTCTTCCTCTCTTTTTCAGATTGAATAATTTCTGTTTATCTACTTTCAAGGTCACTGACTCTTTCTTCTGCAATCTCCATTCTTCTATTAAGTCCCTCCAGTGATGTTATTTTTAATTCCATATATTGCATCTTTTCATCCTAGAATTTACATTTGGTTCTTTTTTAGAGTTCCTATTTCTGTGCTTATGTTCCTGTTTGTTTTTCTTTAATATGAGCATGTTTTCTTTGTATCTTTGTGTGCTAAATTTCTTTGGTACTGAATCCAACATCCGGGTCATCTTAGGGGATGGGCACTGTTGTCTTTTCTCTTGAACATGGTTTGTGTTTTTGTTTCTTTATTTTTGGAGTAATTTTGGATTGTATCCTAGATGTGATGATTGATAAGTTATAAAGACTATGGATTCTGGCCCTGGCCAGGTTGCTCAGTTGGTTGGAGCATCATCGCATACACCAAGAAAGGTTGTGATTTCGATCCCCAGTCAGGATACATGCCTAGGTTGTAGGTTCTACCCCTAGTCAGGGCGTATTCTCTGTCTCTCTCTCCCCCTTCCCCTAAAATCAATAAACATATACTCAGGTGAGGATTTTTAAAAGACCATGGATTCTGTGATATTCTTCCAAAGAGTACTGCCTTTTTTCAACTTGGCTTACCTCAAACTGCAAAACTGTCTTGAGATGAGCAATAGCACACATTAAAGTTACATTCTTTTAGTTTTAGCTAGGCTGACTGGAGTCTGCCCAGAGTCTGCCCCATGTACTCATTGTTCAGGGAACAAGGGTAGAAATATCTGAGACAGTCAAGTGGCTTACAACCTGACTGTGATCCAGGCATCCCACAACGAGAGAACAGCCACATGTAGAGCTTGGAGCTCAGGGAGGTGGTGCAGGCTCAGTCCTATAGCCCCCACAACCTGTCCCAGGACCAACCTGTGCCTCCAGAGAGATCAAGCTGAGCAAATGCCTTTCGTGATGATAAAATTAAGAAAAGAATGCAAGCTCTCCCTCAGACCGGCTCCCCTCCCTGAGGCTCCAGAGCCCAATCACCAACTCCTTGTTCTCCCCTCTCCCCGCTCCCAGATGTGGACAGGGTACCATCCCAAGCAGTGTCAGCCCTGAAGAGCCCTGGTGCCTGCATCTCAGCCATAATTACTTGGGCAGCTACTTCTTCTTCTCCTGCCCAAAGCTGCACACTGCAGAGCAACAGCCACTTCTGGCTTCCTGCCAGCTAAGGCAGAGGCCCCAGAGCAAGAGAAGTGGTTCTGAAAGCAAGGTAGGGGTACGACTCCCCAGCCCAGCCCCTCACGGGCCTGCAGTGATCAGCTGCACACAAACCAACAGGCTCCTTCCCAGCCCCAAGTCCCTGGAGGCCTTCTCCCCGATCCTAGCATTCGTTGCAGCTACACCGCCTGGATGGGACCAGGACAGGCCCTCATATTCAAAGTGTTAGATTCCTGAAAGCAGGGATGACATCCAGGCCATGGGCTGCTCCAGACACCGGCTATAGGTACAGTCACTGTCACTTCACCCTCTTGGCTCCCTGCCCTCTTTCACACTGGGCCTCTACCCAGCACTTTAACCCTTGTCCATTTATGGTGACCAACCGTTCTGGGTCACCCAGATCTTCCTCACATCTCCCAAAAGCCCTCAGTCCCATACAAATCAGAACAGTTGTCCCTTCTTGCCCTGGAGGGTTGTTTTTTTTTTTTTTTTAAGGCCTTTCTCTTCCTCTTCTCCAGAGAGAGGAGCTTTCTTTTCCAAGAAAGATGGGCTAGCCCAGGTACTCCCCACGAGTCCTGGAGTACAAGCTCAGGAGCAGAGCACAACCCTGCCCATCAGACTGCCAGAGAACAGGGAATGATGCTCTGAAGGGAGACTAGGGATGGGTCCCCAGCCCTGATGGGAGTCTTAGCAGGTTTCTTTCCACCACATGGGTCTTGGATTGGTACCATTGGTCTCCACATGGGTCTCTGCCTTTGCAGATGCTCCCGATGATCCTGAGAGTTAGATGAGGGGGAACGCTTCCATGTTCTCAGAGGAGGGGAGAAGCCCAGCCAGATGGGCCTGCTGCTCGAAAGATGCATATGGAAGATTTTCCCCAGGCGCTGCTGGGGTTGATGTAGGGCACACAGGGTAGATGTCATCCCAAGACCGTACCTAGGAAACTGCGTTTCTCCTGGCCGTCACTCTCTTGTCATCCCCTCACAGCCAGGGACTGTGGCTCTCCTGAAACTTAGCCTGGAGAAAACAGAGATCCAGAAGGTAACCTGTTTGGGTCTGTAACTTGCTGCATTTGTGAGGAGCCATATTACTACATGCAAAATGGAGAAATCAACAGATTCTTCTATGAGAAGTGTATGTCTGTGTGTGTGTATGCATGCGTGTGTGTGTGCATGTGTGTGTATATCTAGAATATAAGCCCAAATGGAATGTAAGGATTTCCATACATTCTATACCTAGAACACATGGCACATAGTAGTCATTCAAGAAATTTTTGTCAATTGAATGAATATATATATACATGTGCATGTCTCAGGGTCTGAATGGTAAGTGCTCCTTAGGCTTGGGAGAATAAAGGGGGGAAATGGAGTTCATGCTGATGACAGATTTATTTTTTAATGGAGCCAGCAATACTGCCGCCAACAGACAGAATGAGGCACAATACCATTCCATTTCATCTGTTTTCCCCACTCCAAGCACACTGCAAATCTCCTCCACAAGCCTTCTTGTTTTCTACTTTGAGGACTGTTCCCTGCCTCCTCTTCCAGCCAAGCTGGGGCATGGGAGTGTGGGGAGACTTAAGACAGTTCCTTTGGGGATGTCCCCCAGCCTCTTTCTCTTGCCGAGTTCTTATGGCTGGAGGACAGACCTCAGAACTTTGGGACAAGCCTATCCCACCCTTGCCTTTCAGACTCAAATATATTGAGGTGACTTTTTTTAAGTAATGAAGAAGGAAGGAGGCTCTGGGTTGGGTGGAGAGGGAAGAAACAGAGAGATGGTGGCAAGCGCATCTCCTACAAGTGATTCCCAGGGAGTATCATTGTATTGCTGGTGGCAGCATGGCGGCCGAGGCACTGGGCACTGAGCTGCTGCACAGTGTTCCAGGTAACCAGGGCTCAGGCTGGGGTAGTGGTCACAACAGCTGGTGATCGTGAGTGGAGCTAATGGCACGGGAGGTCTCTGACAGCACAGTCACCCTACTGAAGTGGCTGCAGAGCACCATTCTCTAGGATGACTGTATAGCTTGTCCAAACCAGGATACCTTTGAAAGGGAAAGGGGGCATATAAATAATTAGGACAGCCAGTGTAGACTGGGACTATTTCAACCAAACTGAGATATATGCTCTCCCAATGGATGATTCTAAAGAGTGTTCTAGAAGACTAGGTAAAGTTAGTCCACCAAAGCAGCAAAGAGAGGGAGCAGTATTACCCTAGTGGGTAAGGCACTAATGATCTTATAAAACCTATCGGAGTCATTCAGGGACATGACAACAATAAAGTGAATCAGTAATGAGTGATTCAAATAAAGTGAGTCAGGGTGGGTGGCAATAAATGCAAGTCACCAGTATTGCCAGGGCTGCTAGGTGGTTTGATGGCTGAACGTTGAAGGAGTATCTATAGTGAAACATGATCAGAGAAATAAAGAATATAACATGGGGACCCAAACCCTTATGATCTAGCGGCTGCTTCAGCTTCCTTCCTTCTAGGACAGATCCCTGTGGCTCATGTTATAGGCCCTCTCGTTCATGGGCTGTTCCAGCAGGTCCTGCCTTTTCACTTGCAGGCATGAGTAGAAGGCTTCCCTTCCTGGGGTTTCATTTGCCTCCTCCCTCAATTGGCAAGAAGTGGCCCAACTTGGACTTCTAAGGACCATGGACCAAGCAGTCCACAGTCAGCCACCTTACATGCTCTGACATCTATGAGAAGGCAAGACCTCAGACATTGGCTGTACCTCCACGTTTCCAACTCAGGGCAAGGTGGAACAGTGCAGACCAGGAACTGAGGAGGAGTCCACAGAGGTGAATTCTACTACCTTCACCAAAGTCTTCCTTTCTCTCACCTCGGATCCTTGTGCCTCCACATGGCCATCACTCTTCTCCCCAGAGCACCCACCCTAGAAAGGAAGGGCAGAGATAGAGAGAAGCAGGAGCAAAATGAAATGGAAATGGAGGCTTTGAGAGAGAGAATTTTTCATTAAGTAGGCAGTTGGCATGGTCCCCAGAGAACTTTCTTCAGCTTCTCCTTCAAGTCAAGTCTGGTTGGTGGTGGGCAAGAGGTCTTCCCAGTCTTAGAAATATCAAGCCTCAATTAGGGTAAAAACTAGCTACAACATTTTGGTCATCTCTATGCCAGACCACAAGTGGTATCTACTCTAGAGGGGCTTTTTTAAGGTCATGTTGATAATGACTGTATTTCCAGTAACTTTCAGCCCCTCCTGCTCCTGGAAACTTCCCCAGCCACAGCCCCGATGCTTTGCCTGGGCCAAGCCCTCTCGCTCGCCCTGGAGTGAGGGGACCTGACTCCCAATTGTATATGAAACACAGAATGTGTCCCATATTACATTTGTTACCTTTCTCTTTTCTTTTGTACACTTTAAGCATCTCAGACCTGCCTGCTAAATCCCATATAATGAAATTCTGGTACTTGGTTTTAAAAAGCAAGCCTCACAAATGCTAGCAAAATAAATCTGAGCAACATGAGAACAGAATGCACTCCCTCTTAGCCTAGCCTAGCATTGCAGAAAATCAGACATGATTCTGCTCATACAGTTGATTCTAATAAAGTGGTGAATCAAAAACATTCAATCTCACTGGTGTGGAAATATATAATTCTGTTCCATGTTATATTTCTATCATCTTTGGAGTGTAATTTATACAAAGGAATCTTTAAAGACATTCAGACTCCAGAGATAATTGCTGTGTGACCAGTGCAATGTAGTCTATAAAACATAAAAGTCTGCAAGTCTGGTTGGCCGTTGATAACTTTTTACTCATAAAATTTTTTAATTAACTGTTTACTTTCCAGAAAGTATGAACACTTGTGAGATTGTTGTCTGTCTGTTAGACCAGAAGAATACCTTGGGGGCTCTCTTTTTCCCCTTTCAAGCATCGAGATAAAATTCCATTATTCTGTTTGATTTTTTTTTTTCAAAAAGTTTAAAAGCCTGCAATTATTTAACTAACAGAAGGAATCCCTGCTCTGTGATCTACTAGGAAAGATAAGAACCAGCCTTGCGGGAAGAGCTGGAAAAGAAAAGAGAGAAACAGAACAACCTAATGATTGCCAGATGGGGGTTCAGGGGGTGAAGGAACGGGCAAAAAAGGCAAGAGGGATTAAGAAGTACAAATTCCCAGTTACAAAAACAGTCAAGAGGGTGTAAAATATAGCATAGGGAATGTACAGTGTATATCACAATGATTATAACAATATTGTAATCACTGTGTATGGTGCCAATGGATACTAGACTTATTGGGGAGATCACTTTGTAAGGTATATAAATATATAAATATCTAATGACTATGTTGTGTACCTGAAACTAATAAAATGTTGTAGGTCAACTGTAATTGAAAAATAAATTTAAAAAAAAAGAAAAAGGAAAGGAAATAGAAGCAGTAAAACCCTGAGTTTGGGTAATTCAGGATTTGGGATTTGTCTATGGCTCGTAGCACCCCTTCCCTGGGGTGATCATAAGGAAGGCATAGGCTCTGCTCATGATGTTTGGGGTCCTCCTCTCCACTGGGCCCTGTTACTTGAAAGACAATAAAAACCCCTAAGCTCAATAGGAAACTGCCTTCTTGAGTCAGAGGCTCCCCAGGAAGATGGAGCAATAAAATGCTCAAAGGAGAGGAAGCTGTCAGCGCTGAAATTTGGATTAGGAGGAGGATGAAAAGAGAGCACAAAAGCAAAGAGAAAGGGAGGAAAGCAAAGCAACTGAGGGACAAATAAAAGCAGAGTAACAAGCCGTGGCTAGGTGGTTCAGTTGGTTGGAACACCATCTCATGGGCCAGCGGGTTGTGTGTTTAACTCCCAGTCAGGGCACATACCTGGGTTGTGGGTTCAATCCACAGTGAGGGTGCATACAGAAGACAACAAATTGATGTTTCTCTCTTATCTCAATGTTCCTCCCTCTCTCTCTCTCTCTCTCTCCTCTCACCCCTTTTTCTCTCTCTAAAAACAATAAACATATCTTTGGATGAGGATTTTTTAAAAAGCAGAGTAACAAGAAGGAAGAGAACATATATACCACCAGGGACCTGAGCAGCATGCATACACCCTGAGTAGAGATTACTTCATGGGATGGGGTGACAGAGATTTGCCCCCCAAGCTGTCCCTTGGACTAAGGACAGAAGAACGAGGCTCTAGGAAAGAGAGGACCCCAGAACAATGGCATTTGGGAAGGAGCCTGGTCATTGGGAATGACCCAGAGAGAGCCGGAAAGGAGCTGCTGATTATTATTATAGGATCACAAAATATACAGAAGTATACCATTTTTTAGTATATTTTATATCTTTAAACTTTTCTCATTCTGTTATTAGAGAGTTGTGTTACAACCATACATGTTTTGCTGGGTTTGTTGGGGGCAAGGAGGCGTATTCCGCAGACAAGGGGGAAGAAGGAGAAGTCAGGTTCCAAGAGTGGGAGCAGAAAAGTACTTAAAGTGACAGCGGAGCTGGATGAAGGAGGATTAGAGGGTTAGCGTTAGGGGGAAGAAGGGAAAAAGCCAGCTAAAAGACTTTTGACCCATACTTTCAAGACTCACCACACACATTTCATGACTGTGTACATGGGCTAGGCACCTTCTTAACCATCGGCGATAGTGAGCCTGGGCCTAGAAGATCATTTGCAGGTGCTGCTAAGGGTTCCCAGGAAGCCTCCAGAAAGAATTGCGGACCAAGAGCACTAGAGTGAGTGAGGAGCCATTCTTAGCGTGTGGCAGCCTTTGTAGCCAAAAGAATGGGGAGAGAAAGGGTAAGTAAAACTATTTGGCAAAGCCACCTTGAGTTACGGCTCTGACCCGCGAAGGTGTGTGAAACTTCTAGACGAGGCTAGAGTCCACTCCCAGGACATGACCCCCAGACCACCAGTGGTGCACAGTCACTCCTTACCTGCCTGCCTTCCCACTCTTCCCCTCCCTTTCAGATCGCAGCCCTTGGAGGGGCAGGGCGCTGCTCTGAGCTGATTCTGTAAGCAACAGGGCTCCCCAGTGGGCACCTCCTGATCAGAGGGAGTTTGTGTTCTTGGGGAACAGGCTGCTGCTGACCTTCCACATGCCTGCCTCCTTTGAGGTCAGAACCACCAGCCTCCACAAGAACTTCCTAGCCCCCGAACAGGCCAGGGTGAATGTATCTCCTGGGAAGAGCGGCCTCTGTGCCCAGCCATGGCCCTGGTATCTGCCTGAAGATGCAGGAGTCTGGGCCTGACCCAAGCCCTGTGCCAACCTGACCCTACTGGACAAGCACATGCTAGGGGTTGTGAGCAGGATGCAGAAGACTACCCAAGTGAGGGCCCCAGCCATGCTTGGTCAGGAGGGAGCGTGGGGGGAGAACTCAAGTTCAGTGGTCACAGACTTCTATTTCAACAAGAGGCAGGCAGGTAACATAAATGAGTGGAAAGGTCAGAAAGGGAGAGGTATAGTCAATTAAAGTCAACAGCCATAACTCACGAGGAGCCACCCCTACTATTTACTATTTTGTAAACAGTACAAAAAAATGTCAAAAGTCAATGCCCTCCCAACCCCTGGTCTTGAGGGCCAGCTGGTTTTGGAGTTTTTCCTTACTTTGTGGTATCTGAGCTTTTCTCAAGTCAGACAGTAGGTGGCGCTCAACCCAGAGAATTAGAAAAAAGGAACGGGAGAATTACTCAACTCATTTCCAGTAATGCTCCACCTTCCCCTCAGGGCCCTCTCCAGCCCCACCTCCTGTTCCCCTGGCCTGGGCCAAGTCCTCTGCGAGATCCCAGACGTCCCATTCCAGATGCCTGGCCTCAGAGCCAGAGAATTATTTCTGGGGAAGCCCCCACTCCACAAGCTGCCCAGGCAAGATGTGAGTGTGCCCTTAGAGAGGTCTGGAGGAGAGGAAAAGGGTGGGGAGAGGGAAAGGTGGGACCCAGGGGAGCATGTATACCCCATTCTCTCTCTCTCTCTCTCTCTCTCTCTCTCTCTCTCTCACACACACACACACACACACACACACACACACACACTCAGAGCCACTTAAAGCAGAGGGGAATTAGAAGTTGCCCTTAGCTCCCAGCAGCCTTCCTGGGCGGTGGTCAGGCACAATGCTCTGAACCAGGAAACTAACATACTTAGCTGTCCCTCCCTTGCACTGCCATGTCTCCCTCAGATCCCAGGGTGGGGTCGGAAGCAGAAAGTAGACCCCACTTTGTATGAGACTGTCCAGGAAGATAAGCAATGGTGGAAAACTCACCGTGGTGCTCAGGCTGACTAGGAGGCTGAAGGAATTGGGCCAGGGAGGGACAACGAGGGAGCTGGCAGAGGTATCCGGCCTCCAGGGCTGAGGCCACAGCTGCTAACACCTTTGCCAGGTCTCTCAGTCCCTTAGCATTGCCTGCCCTGACTCCTCAGGACTCCACAGGCCTCAGGCCATGGCTGTGTGGACTCATCTTGCCCTCACCCACACACAGGTGGTGGCTGCTCCTCTGGGGAGTCCTCCAGGCTTGCCCCACACACGGCGCCGTGCTCTTGGCCCAGCATCTACCCCAGCAGCTGAGGTTCCCTGGGTTCCCAGAGCCATACCTCAAAGGCCAAGAGAGGACCACTGTCATCGAGGCTCCGGAGGGCTTTGCTGTGAAGCTCGTGCTCCAGGACTTCGACCTGGAGCTGTCCCCAGACTGTGAGCAGGATTCTGTCACAGTGAGCTGGGGTCCTGGAGGGACTCTGGGGAGGGAGCCTCCTGGCCTGGAGCCCAGGGGCAGTGGGAGGTGGCAGGGCCCTGAATCTCGGAGGGTGGATGAAGAGCCCAGCCAGGTCAGGGGCACAGGCTGGCTCCCAGAGAGGCGAGGGTCTGCCCAAGTGCACAGCCTCCACCAGCAGCCCTGTCCCTGGCCATGCCACCATCTTGGTCCCAAAAGGACACACAAATGCTGCCAATCCCTGGAATAAAGAGCAAGGACTCACATATCAGTTATTAAAAACATATCATCAAGCATTTGCCGGGTGCCTGCTCTGTCAAGGCAGGAAACTGGGCATGAACAATAACAAAAGATTTGGTGACTACGTTTACCTTAAAGTTCTTATAAGGGCATTATTCAGAATAAGGACACTTTAAAAACAGTACTCGATGTTATTATTTGGTTTAAATCTTATTTATATCAAAATAATAGATGCACTGTTTGCTTGTTTTCAAATCAGAGGACTATAAGGCTTATGATGAAAAACAGCTGTCTCCAGCTTTACTCCTCACCCCATTCTACTCTCTGGGGCAGTTAGTCACAGTTCATGTAGCTGTTTCATCTGGCATTTAGTTTCATATGTACCAATGACATGCTTGTTCTGGTTTTGTTTGTGTGTGTATGTGTTTGGTTTTTATTGTTGTTGTTTTGTTTTACATATTATCCTTTAACTTTCAACTATAGAAGATAGGACTAGCTTTATCTCAGACCATCTTGCTTACACTTCCCCTCACCCAGCCTCCCAGGTTACCTATACTATCATTCTTAATTAAATTTGTAGTCACTATTTACAGTACTATGACTTTAAAATATTCACATCTGAGCACGTGATAGACAGTAATTATAGTTTCTTTTTTTCCTCCAACCTTTTGTTTCCCAGGAGTCAATAATTACATGAAGTTCTTTGGAGTTTTTTTGTTTGTTTTGTTCAACTCTTTGGTTTGCTTAGTTCTGTGTAATTAATGTCCTCAGACTCTTAGCCAACAGAGTAAATCTCTCAACACATTCAAGGACAAATCTCAATCTGAGTCCTCCTTTTCACGGGTGGCATTTCACCTAAAGATGCCTTGATGATTTATTCTTCAGTCTGAACTCTTTGCTGTCTGAGCCTTCACACTCTCTGGGAGTTCCCTTCTCCATCGTGCTGGGGATTCCCTTTACCTGTCCTGTGTTAAAACTGAACCCCAACGTCATTCTCTTTCTTGGTTTACTCCCTCACTGTTAGAGGAGCACTTTCTCCTCCAGGGAAGGTATGTGGGAGTCAGTTTTAGAGGATTTTACATAACCCTAAATGCCTTCATTCTACCCTCACAGCTGAAGGATTGTTTATCCAGCTTGCGTTCTAGGTTGGAAGTCATTTTCTCTCAGAATTTTGATGACATTATCTTCTTGCTCTGATGTTGTTAAGTCTGATAGCAGTATGATTTCTAGTCCTTAGTTTTTTCTCTCTAGAGTTCTTGGAATATTTTTTTTATTACCAGTATTCTGAACTTTCATTATGATGTGCCTTGATGTGGTTTGCTTTTTACTCATTGTACAGCATTCTTTTAATCTAGAGACTCTTTTAATCTAGTCCTTCAATTCTAAAAATGTTCTTATATTATTTTTAAAATTATTTCCAGGCACCTACTCTGTTTATTTTTTCTTTATGGAACTCCTATAATTTAGCTGTTGTATGTTCTGGACCGATTCTCTAGTTTTATTATTCATTCTGTTGTCTTTTTGTTCCACTTTCTGAGAGATTTCCTCATTTTATTTTATAAGATTTTATTTATTTATTTTTAGACAGAGGGGAAAGGAGGGAGAAAGAAAGGGAGAGAAACATCAATGTGCGGTTGCCTCTCACGCACCCTCTGCTGAGGACCTGGCTGGCAATCTAGGTATGTGCCCTGTCTGGGAATTGAACCAGCAATCCTTCAGTTCACAGACGGTGCTCAATCCACTGAGCCACACCAGCCAGATTTCCTCATTTTAAATACTCACTTTAATGGTTTTTTTCTGTTGACATTTTTTTTATGACTAAAGACTCATTTTCTAAATGTGCCCTTTCACAGAATATTGTTCTTATTTCATAGACTGTACTCTTTTCACTGTAATGGGATTATTTTTAAATGTTGTTTCTGTTCCCCGTATTATCTCTACTTTGGTGAGTTCTTTTTTTACTCTTCATTTGTTTTGTCCCTGCTTTTCCTGTCAGAGACTCTCCTACAATGTCTGATAATCCTTGGCCCTTCCTTTATATTTAAAAAGGAAGTACTAGAATGATATCGGATGCTCTGTGAAGACAGCTAAAATTTGTGAAATGACAAGTTTGAAAATAGGGCTATCAGCAAGGTGAATTAGATGTGCTGTGGGGCCTGCCCAAATGCCAGTCCTCAGAAGTGTGTTCTTGGGCGACAGCCACTTCAGAAGGGAATCCTCTGGTCTCCAGAATGAGTTGCCTGCTTTCTGGTAAACGAGCAGAGGCATCTCACTGTCTGACATGTAGACTTTTACCTAATCCCCCTGTTTTCAGTACTGGTCTCACTCCCTCTTGTCAAGTGTCCCAGGGAATCCCAAGTCCAGGGTCTCTGGCTCACACTCAGGTCTCCTGCCAGAGGGAGTTGCCTGGATGCACAGGGTGGGCAAAAGGGTCTAGAATTCTGAGGTCTCCCTACATAGCCTTCTATTAGCCCCTACCCCCGGCCCCACTCATCCGCATCCTCAGGGGTTCCTGGTTATCCTGATTTCCGTGATAAGAATCTGCTTGCTTTATGTTGGCTTCCACCTCTGCAGAGTCAGATCCTTAGTTGCCCCTTTTCCATCTCCATTCCACATTCCAAGATGTTATTGACATCTCTCAACTGCTGTCATCTCCTCTCACTGTTTCGTCCTTGATCGTGTATATCATTTTATCCCTTTGCTGTCATAGTAGTGGGATTTGAGGTGGGAGAGGAGATAAATGCATGTGTTTATTGCTGCAGATTTAAACAGAAGCCAACACCATACTTTATTCAATTCAGCCTGTATTGGTTGAGCACCTACCATGAGCCCTGTTCTTCTTAGTCATGGAAAGTTTTAAGCCCAGCCTGACTCTTCCCTTGTCATTGAGGAAGTTCAAGCTCAGGAATAGCATTCTTTCCTCCTCTCTGCTGCCAGAGCAAGTTACACACGCACACCTGAAATGCAGAATTCAACACACTGTAGTCTAGTTCATGGTTTACTTGTCAGTAACCTCAACTGACTATGTGTTCAGGAGCAGAACCCTGTCATTCATGGCTGCATCCCCAGCACCTCGCATAGTGTCTTACACATAGAACATAATAACTGTTTGTGGAAGAAATAAATGAAAGAATGAACAAAACCCAAGCTTGCCATATGTGTGGGACACACAACAGAATGAACTTTGAGTGAGCAGGTGCTTAGTGTCATCTTTACCACTGCTCTTCATGCGCATACTAGACTTAGGATGTGCTGTCCTGACTGCACGAGGCATCACAGGCCATTTTACAGGAGGGGAAACTAAGATCTGGGCTGGTTAATTAACTGCCCACGTCACACAGGGAGTTAAAAGCAAAGTCTGGAATTTAACATGGGTCTTAAGACTCATGGTCATGTGTTCATTCTACTTTGGTAGTTAGACTCCTAAGTGATTCTGTTTAGCCAACAACTCATGAGGAAGGTAAAAAAAGAAAAAGCTGGGACAACCAAGTAGATCAATAAAGGACAGCTTCACAGAACAAAGAGGTTTCTTCCCCAAGAGGAAGGCCCCTTAAATATGGGGCTTAAATTAGTTGATGTTCTGACGAAAAGAACAGTAGTAGGACATGTCCAAGCAAGGCATGTGGGGTGATGGAGAAATTTTCTTCATGTCAACTTTGACCCAGTTAATGTGATCACAGTGAGAAAGGCTGAACAGCCGATTAAAGGAATTTGAGACTATGGGAGAATGAGGGGATGAAGAACTAGCAAGAACCTAGGAGGTGGGTCAATATGAAAATCAGAAATTAAATGGAATAAATAAATAAATAAATAAATAAACGACATGAGCTGAGCAGGGAGCCGGTGTCCCAAATAGAGATTAAGCATGAAGCATAAGCCAGGGGAACTGCTTCCGAGAGGTGTCATTCCTGGGTTGGAGAACCCACAGCAAGGAATCTGAGCAGGGGCGAGGCAGTCAAAAGGGGTTTGAAACAGAGACAACCTGCTTAAAGAACATGTAAGTTAAGCAACAATAGGCAGTGTATCGGTACTGTGTACATTTGTGTCCTTAGATTCCCACACTTTGTGAGGTTTTATTTACAGTTCAGTTGGAGGAGGGACACTCCAAAAACGAGAACAGGAAAGACCAGAAATACCAGGTCAGTCTTTGCAGAGGGTCTTATTGCATCACAGATGTTGGCCCACAGGAAGTTACTCAGAGAAGTAGAAGGGGATGGGGTTGGAGGAAGCCAGAAGGGAGGGACTTAGGTCTGTTTTTTCATCCACTCAAAGCTGTGGTGCTATAGGCACCATGTTGAGCATCTAGGATTCAGTGGTCAGCAAAATAAATATATTTCCTGCTTCCTTAGAACTTACAATCCAGTGGACTATTCAGGGAGCCCTGGGGTTCCCAAGGAAGTTCTTTTTATTGACTTACTTTTAATTATAATTGGTATTTATATTGGTTTCAGGTATACAACATACTGAGTCAATATTTATATAGCTTACGAGGTGATCACCACAATAAGTCTAGCAGCCACCTGTCACTAAACAGAGTTATTATGAGGTTATTGACTCTATTCCCAAGGAGCCTCTTGAAAGAAGATATGGTGGGCTTCATGAGGTAATTATAACAGGCTAAAGAAATATGCAAGGTGTCTGGTCATATCTGGAAAAAACTTGGGAGTCAATAATGAACAAGAAGCTACTTGAGCAAGGTTCCACAGGGTACAGCTTCCTGGCCCCAGAGGTGTACAGACCTGTCAGATGGGAGTGGAGTCCATGCCCACGAGTGCTGCTGGGACCACCTGTGGTGCAGATTCACCCCACACCTGCCTGCCCTACTTTCCTCCCCTTTCAGATCACAGCCAGTGGGATGGATCCAAGCCTATTCTGTGACCAGCAGTGCCCTCCACTGGGGAGCCCCCAAGGTCAGAGGGAGTTTGTGTCCTCAGGGAACCATGTGCAGCTGACTTTCCGTGTACCTGCCTCCTTTGAGGACAGGGCAGCTGGCCTCCACAAGGGATTCCTGATCCTCTACCAAGCCGTGAGTGAGTGTCCATCCTGGGGGTGAACTCTCTGCCCATAGCCATGGCCCCTGGTATCTTGAAGCAACAAGCGGAAGCTTGCGTGATTGTTGAGGCTGGGGGCTCAGGGACGACGCCAGGGCCCAGCCCTTCCCCGCCCCCTCCGGGCCCCTGCTGGTGAGCTGCCCAGTTAAGGAGCAGCCAATGCTCAGCTCCAGCGATTGTTGCCATGCTGAGTTACTGGCCCAGGGTTTGCAGATCACTTCATTTTTCATGAGAAGCCAAAAATACAGATTTTAAGTGAAATTTCAGATTTTCAAATGGTAACCCAGAATTTTTCTTTTGAAAGATAATATATGCACATGATAAAAATTTCAAAAAAAAATATGGTAAAAAGTAAGTCTTCCTCTTGCCTCTGGCTCTTAGTCCGTGACCACCTTGTCCAGAAACAGCTCTGTCCTCCATTTTCTAGGTTTTCTTCCAAAGACAGTCTATGCCATTCAAACAGTTTGCATAATATTCACAATGTTTTAAATTTCACATTTTTCACTCAACAATATATCTTAACGATCATTCCATATACATGTGGCTAGCATATCCTAGTTCTTTTTAGTGACTATATAGTATTTCTTTGACTGATGTCATAATATATTTAATTAGTCCTCCGCTGATAGATACTTCGCTGCCACAAACAGTACTGCTATGGATAGCTTGCATATACATCTTAGAGCACGTATATGAGGGTGAATCCTTAGAAATGAAAATGCTGGGTGAAAATAATTACAATTTTAATTTTGATGTTGCTAAATTTCCCTCCAGAGAGGCTTTGCTAATTTACACTCCCACTCATCATGTCTGAAAATGCCTGTTTCCCCATATCCTACTTATCACAGTTATTTTCAAACACTTAGCATTGACAATCTGATCAGTGAAAAATAGTTCAAATGTTAAAAAAAAAAAAAAAAAGACTGCAGTTCAAACTAAATATGCCCATGGGCCAGAATCAGTCCCTGGGTTGCCCATTCGCAATTCTGTTCTAGGTGCTAATGACCACTTTTTTTCCTATAGGTATGAACTACAGTCAGCCCATCAGCCAGGTTAGCGGGGACTCCGAGGCCACACACACACCTGGAGGCAACTCCTCCAAGACCCAGAACCACTGCCAGGAGCCCTATTATCAGGCGGTGCCAGCAGGTGAGTCCCCACTTGCTGGGGAGCCAGCTTCTACCTGCCTTACTCCCACCAAGAGGACTGTGGCACCTACTTTTTTAGCCCCACGTCCCAATTCTGAGCCTGTTTCTTTGCCTCACCTCATTTCACACAGGGACACTCACCTGCACAGCCCAAGGCCCTAGGAAAGAGACACAGGACAGGGAGGAGGTTCCTCACTGTGTGCCCGGTGAGTAGTGACCTGCCAGTGCTGTAACTGTGGCCACTTTCCAGACAGGACTCAGCTGTACGTGGGGCCTGTGGAACCAGAGGATACAGGGATTAAGGGAAAGCCTTAGAGCAGAAAGAGGAGATAGAGGCCGAAGGGGAGGAAGAATAGGGGAACCAAGAAGGCCCAGACACAGAAAGGCAAAGAGCTTGCCCCTTATTCTTCAAAGATCAAGATATAACTGAGAAAGTAAAAGCATGAAGGAAGTTAATCAGATGGGGAAGGAGACAGAGGGGCAGAGTAGAAATAAGAGAAAAGCCTTTCCTGGTACAGTATGCTTTAAGGATACACAGGCAGGCACTCGGTCCTCCAAATATCTCCCTACCTCGATGCTCCAGGGCCAGAAAGTCCCTCCCTTTTTTGTTTTGGGGTGTGGGGTTTTTTTTTAGTTTTTTTACTGAGATCAAAATCACCATTTTATAGTGTACAATTTAGTAGTTTTTAGGGTATTTACAATGTTGTGCAACCATTACCACTAATTCTAAAACATTCCCATCATCCCCAAAATAAACCCAGTACCTCCAACTCTCCCCTCCTTCATCCTCCAGCAACCACTAATCTGCTTTCTGTCTCTATGGATTTCCCTATTCTGAACATTTCATATCAATGGAATCATTCAATATGTGGCCTTTTGTGTCTGACTGCTTTCATTTAGCATAATGCCTTCAAGGTTCATCCACATTTTACCCTGTGTCAGTACTTCATTCTTTTCATGACCAAAGCAAATTCCACTGTGTGGATACACCACATTTTGTTTATCCATTCATTAGTCGATGGACATTTGGGTTGTTTCCACTTTTTGCCTTTTATGGACAATGCTGCCATGAGCATTCAGATACAAGTTTTTATTTGAACATGTTTTCAGCTCCCTTGGGTAGGTACCTAGGAAGGGAATTGCCAGTGTTGGGTTCCATCGTAACTCTACGAGTATGTGTGACTTTTTAAGGGGTCGCCAAACTGTTTTCCATAATGGTTGCACCGTTTTAAATTCCCATCAGCAGTATGTGAAGATTCAAGTCCCATTTTTTGAAACCCATTTTTTGAGTCAAAGCATTGCCTTTCTAACCCAATCTGAATAAATTTCTCAAATTTTACTCCTGATCCACAGAAAGCTCTAGGAGAAGCCTGAAGTAGTGCTTTGTGGGGGGTTGGAGGACAAGTAGTATTGGGAGATGTTAAAAATGAAGAAATGGCAGAAAGGAGAATCAAGAGACACTGAAGGCCAATTCTGTTTGCTGCATGAGTTTGCTCACAGTGGTCCCACCCAGAGTCTAAAAAAGTGGCTTAAAATGGCTAAGGGGGCAGGAGGAAGAACATTTCACAGGAGAAGACCTCTAATAAATGTGGCTTGATGCATGCTGATTTCGCACTCTTACCTCTCCTCTCTTTCAGTCTGTGGAAGGCCAATCACTCCCATCACCCAGAACCAGGAGGCCCAAGGTTCTTCCAAAGCTAAGTTGGGTAACTTCCCATGGCAAGCCTTCACCAGTATCTATGGCCGTGGAGGTGGGGCTCTGCTAGGCGACAGATGGATCCTCACTGCCGCCCACACCATCTATCCCAAGGACAGCGTCTTTCTTGGGAAGAAGAGGCATGTGGATGTGTTCCTGGGCCACACAAACATAGATGAGATGATAAAACTGGGAAACCATCCTGTGCGCCGCGTGGTTGTGCACCCGGACTACCGACAGAACGAGTCCTACAACTTCAACGGGGACATTGCCCTCCTGGAACTCCAGCACAGTGTGCCCCTCGGCCCCCACCTCCTCCCGGTCTGTCTGCCCGAGAGCGAGACCCTCTACCGCAATGGCCTGATGGGCTATGTCAGTGGGTTTGGCGTGGAGAAGGGCTGGTTAACTACTGAGTTGAAATACTCAAGACTGCTGGTCGCCCCAAGGGAGGCCTGCGAGGCCTGGCTCCAAGAGAAACAGAGGACTGATGTATTTTCTGACAACATGTTCTGTGCCGGGGATAAGACACGGCAGCAGAGTGTCTGCCAGGGGGACAGTGGTGGTGCCTATGTAGTATGGGATGATCGTGCCCATCACTGGGTGGCCACGGGCATTGTATCCTGGGGCGTTGGATGTGGCAAAGGGTATGGCTTCTATACCAAAGTGCTCAACTATGTGGGCTGGATCAAGGGAGTGATGGGTGGGGAGGGCTGACCCTGCACACACTGAGCAATGGCGCCAGTACTGCCAGACCCAGGCAGAGGAGGGTTGAAAGTGAAGACTGAGCCCTGCGGGTGGGGAGGGAGGGAGCCAGGGAATCCGTATTTGAACCACTGTGTGAGAGAGAACTCCTCTGCTCGAGGCTGACCCCACCCTAGATAAGAAGGGCATTCCTCCAGCCCCTCCTCACCCTCCACCTTCCGGTGAGTGTGCACTATGCCCAGGAAAGCCCTGTATATCTCGCTGAGCTTCACTTTGAACTTTATCACCTGCTGACACAGCTTCATCTGTCTCTCCTGAGAGACAGCCAACGTCTCATCCCCCTGTTCAAGTGGCGTATGGGAGAAGTGGTCTTAATTGCATTTCATCTCTGAAACATTCTAAAGCCCCTATAGTTGACCTCCAAAGATTCAAACTATCAGCTGCACCACCTACCACAACTCCTAGCTGCAATTACAGTGATAACTGGGTTTTTGTTACATCTTCCACATACTGAGCAATCCACACATGTTATTTCATTGACTCCTCACACAAAGTTTGCAAAGGAAGTGTTATAACCCATATTTTAAATGAGGAAACTGAAGTTCAGAGAGAGAAAGTGACTTGCCCAGACGCCACAGCTGATCCAGGACTGCAAAGGCCATTTGCTTTCCAGTGCGCCTCGACGCCTCTCGGGGTCCTCTGGACGTGCTGTATCGCCCACGTCCACTTCCCAATCCCCACATCCCTACAGACTCTCACTCCCTGGGAGTTCCAGCTGTAGTCAGGATGATGACACCTAGCTCACACTTTCCTGGGGCCCCATGACCTGCAGGCACCACATCCTGAGCCCAGTCCTGGGCTGGATGTCCCTGCAGGCGCCCCCAGTGCCACGGGACACCCCAGGCCATGCTCCACCTGAGACACCAGCTCTTTAATTTTTAACGAGGACATGAGGTGATTTAGAGTAAAAAGTGCAAATAAAATACACTTGTTCAAATAGGACAAGAAAATGAATGAAACAGAAGAGAATGAATTTGCTAGTGCTGAAAATCAAGGTTAAAGGATAAATTTATCTTTGAAAAATAGGATTCAAAGGTGTACATATATGTGGTTACTTCTATTTTATAAAACTGTACATAGTATAAAAGGCCATTAAAAATACTTTAAAATATTCATCAGAGGTTGTTTTAAGTGATATAACTCTGGCTGTTTTGTTTTCCCTTGTTCTTCTCTATTTGCTAAATTTTATTTAATGAGCATGTATTAGTTTTATTTTTTAATTTTTATTATTGAAAAAAATGATATGAGTTTCTCCCTACCAAGGCAAAAAAATATATACCTATATCTAGATATCTAAATATATATAACATATTTATATATTATATATTTATATATATTTATGTATGGTGTATATATACCATAAATATATATACCAGATATATATACACCATATATTTAGATATCTTGGTATAGATATAATTATAGGCTTAGCCACAGAGGAAAACCTACCATTACCTTTAGGTAGAAAATTTTCCCCCAGAATCAAATCTTAAGAGGAATGAACAATATAATAGACAATATCTTCAAATACTGGTTTTAAAACAAGTGCCTGAACAATCTTTATATAGCTGTTCCTTCTTTCAATTCTTAGTGTAAGTCAAGGGTATAAGACAAATGTGTAAGGAAATGTTATTTTGAGTGGTTGGGCAGAGTGGAGTTTGGGCTGAGACTGAACTGACAAGGTCCATGTTTGTCACTTCCCAGCCGTGTTGCACAACACCAGGACAGAACTCAGAGTCTGTAAGATGGGATAGGAGAGCTTCGGCTAAGACTTACCTTCTTTTTTATTTAAGATTTTATTTATTTTTAGGGAGATAGGGAGGGAGGGAGAAAGAAAGGGAGAGAAAAATCCATATGTGAGAGATACATCCATTAGGTTGCCTCTCAAGCCCTCAACAGGGGACCCAGCCCACAACCCAGTTATGTGCCATGACTGGGAATCAAACTGGTGATCTTCCAGTTCGCAGGCTGGTGCTCAATCTACTGAGCCACACCAGCCAGGGCAGACTTACTTTCTTGAACCACCTCCTCCTTCCCTGTGACCTCTGCCATCCTGCCCTATCATGAACCCATATACACACACTGCGGCCAGGATGTTCACGTGCAATTTGCTACACAAAAGTCCCCCTCTTTCTTGTCTCCTGTTCTGGTCCTTATGCTTCTTTCATATCTTTTGTCTTTCTTAACCTGACAAGGCCATGGGTCATGTCATGGATCAGCCCTGCCAATAAGAGTCATCCCTTAGCTCCAACATACAAGCCTGCCGCAGAAAACCTCCAGACCTGCGTTAATCTTGCATCTTCCACGTGCCTTCTCTCTACCTATATTCAGTGATGACTTGGTCTCTGACTAATGGGGAACTGCCCCATCTTCATGAATTCTTGCAAGCCATTGCCTAGGAAAGTGCCTGGTACATTAAATAGGTCGCCCGTTAATAATGAATGAGTGGGTGGGTGGGTGGGTGCAGGGATGGAGGAATTAATCTGATGAGGGAAACAAGCAGGACACACTACAAAAGCCTCAGAACTCAGAGGCCTGTTCTGCAGCCTGAGCCTCCCTGGGGAATACAGTGCCATAAGGCATTTGAGCCTTGGAGAGTTGATGAAGAAAGGCTACCACAAGGAGCAAACCCTTAAAACAGGACACTCTGTCCTGACAGACAGGAGAGACAAGAGCTCTCCCCCGCCCCATCCCGCCCCCCCCCCCCCCCCCCCCAGGGATCTAGCTTTCTCTTGAGTCACTCTTGGTCCACAGCCACACCCTTTGCCTAGCCCTAGGCAATTGTGACCTTAGGGCTCAAACTCTTGACAAGATACCTAGGAAAAGAGGATATCGCTACACCCTCCCCAGCTGCCCTTCCTTCTCTAAGAGCCAGGTTCATTGGCAGGCATGAATTCACTGAGGGGGGAGGAAGAGTCTTAGAACAAACCCTAGTGCAGCTGTGGGGTCACCCTGAGATGGCAATCCCTGTTTGATGTCTAAGTGGCGTTCCTCAGTGAAGTACGCCAGGGTCCCAATGCAACCGAACTCCATTTTCCTCTTTCCACACCTGCACTGCCCTCCTCTACCTGTCACATCATCCTGCTGCACTGAAACCCTGGCTGCTCCTGGGCCAAGGCTGCTGGTTGACTAAGGGCCGGACAAACCGGAGTAATGGAAAAGGACAGTCCAGAAAAGAGAGTGCCCTCAGCTGTGATTTCCATTGCCCTCTGGGTGAGAACCCTGCAAACATGGGAGCAGCCCATAGGAAGGTTCCTGAAGAAAGGGAGAAGGCAGATCAGATCTAGGAAAGAAGTCTGCGCCTCCTGCAGAAGGCTTTCCTGTCCCTAAAAACTGACCCTTCCCCATATAGGCCAGCAGGTGGCACCACCATCGGGGAATTCAAAAGCAAAACTAAATTAAACTGGAAACAGATTTTTTTTTCAGTTTTGTTTATGCAAATAGTCCATTCCCTGCCACATTCCTCCGGGAAAGGCCCCCCTCCCCCTCCACAGTCAGTCACTCCCTCCCCCTTCCCTCCTCTGCATGACCGCTCTCTCCCTCTACACAGAGTGGATGAAGACGCTGTCAGGAGAGTCCAGGATCCCAAAACAGGACTTGAGAAATGTGAGTAAGGCTGATGGGGACCAAGGAAGGAGGGAGAAACCAGAGGAGGGAGCCCTGGGCATGGGAGGCAACCATGCCCCCAAATTTATCCAGAGAGACAAGAACAGCCTTCCCCTCCCCATATCCCTTATCTATTCCAATGTGCACACGCATGCACACACACTCAGACACATACCCTCCGTCTGTCCTCCTGAGGACCACAGGAGACCTTAGACATATGAGGTGATGGCCACATCCCCTTTCCTTCCATCTTATAGCAGGGGAGCATCAAAATGGGGGGACCCACTCTGTCCAGGAGGGGTGTCCTCTGTGCGCCACTCCATCTTCCATAGGCAGCTTCTCCCAGATGCCTTTGCTGAGCCTTTGGGAGCCCTTTCAGAGAACCATGACTGGAAACCCTCACCTTCAATTAATTGGTCCCAAGCCAGCCTATTCCGGGAGTGGGAGAGGAGTGATAAGACAGGGCAAAGGAAGAGGATGGGGAGAGAGGTGAAGGCAGTGCGATGACCTCTGGACAGGACAGTGCCCTGGGGAGGAGCACTCAGGGCAGCAGCTACAGAGACCGGCCTCCCTGCCCCACCCACACCCACACCCACACCCACCTGGAACATCTGTGAGGTCTAGAATGGGCAGAGAGGAAAATGCCCAGCAGTATGGCCAACCCATCCCCCATCCCAGTCACTGCCCAAACAGCCTTCCAGACACACTCTTTCTTTTCGGCAGGTGGCTTTTATACCTTCTAGTGTCAGTCCTGTTCTGCAAGGTGGGAGGCTCCATCCTCAGCTCTCAAGAGCTCTTTGGGGAGGTGACTTCCCCTCTGTACCCCAAGCCTTATCCAAACAACTTCGAGACAACCACCGTGATCACAGTCCCCACGGGATACAGGGTGAAGCTCATCTTCTGGCAGTTTGACCTGGAGCCTTCCGAAGGCTGTTTCTATGACTATGTCAAGGTAGGAGGTCAGGTTGGGAGGACAGAGGGAGAGCTGGGTGGCTCTGGAACCTGAGGACTTGTGCTCTAACCACCATGGGTAGCACTTGCCATCCGTGGACACAGCCCTAGCCCTGCAAGAGCCGATGGCCGAGTGGAGTTCTGGGAGGCGGGCGATGCCATGAATGGTGTCCGCAGGTTCTGGAGGCCTTCAGTGAGCACTGGAGGGGAGAAACACAGAGGAGGGAAGGTACAGGCCCCACTCTCAAGAAATTTACCATCTACAGGAATCAGAAAAGGCTTTCCTGTCTGTTTCCCCGCTGGGAGTCTTTGAAAAATTGCTGTGCCTCAGTTTCCCTGTTTCCATGGAGAATATCACCATGACTACCTGGTTCATCAGGAACACAGAGACATGGGAAAGAGAAGTGTGTGTGGTGGGAACTCAGGCATAGTCTTCAGCAAGGACATTGGACTCAGTCCCCTCACTTCTCTAATAACCAAGGGTACCCTCCCAGTCTCATCTTTCTACATCCAATACAAATGAGATTCTAGATCCAGGATCCAAGTAGAACTTACACACATCCAATAAACACCATTCCCAGAAAGCTGTAGGAGAATGACATGAAAATGATACATCTTTCTCATCCAGAGGATTTGAGAAGTTTGCAGCGCTATAGGGAGGGGTCTTGGTGGCAAGGATGGTGAGGAATGGGGTTGGGGCAAGGACATCTGCTTTGGATGGGTTAACAAAGAAAGAAATAAGGGAGGCTGGGCGATGCCTGCCAATGCCAATGCTGATGGGCCCCAGAGGCTCACATTCAACTATGTGTATCAAGACACATGGCTGGTGTGAATGGTTTGAATAAGGTGAGGTGAAATAACAAGATAGAACTTAAGGCAGATCAGTCCAGGCTCTAGGAATGAAGGGAAGATAAAGGCTGTGTAGAGACGCTCAGGATTCCAGGTACACAAGGCGGTAAGAAAGAAGAGAAGGCTGAAACATGCTGGAGGAACATAACCAGGGAAGGGGCACAGGAGAACATGAAAAGAGTTAGCCAATGGGAGACTCAGGTAGACAGATGAAAGCCACCTGGGGAAGTCTGCAAAAGCCAGAGCCCAGCAGGTGGAGACCAGCTGGAGGATATTGCAGAAGCGGGGCATGATTCACTCTTCAGGACAAGAGAGGGAGGGCCTCCACTGACTTTCCACATGGCACATGTCTCAACAGCCCTTCTTCCTGCTCCTTGTCCTTCCTCCACCAGATCTCTGCTGATAAGAAAACCCTGGGGAGGTTCTGTGGGCAACTGGGTTCTCCACTGGGCAACCCCCCAGGAAAGCAGGAATTTATATCCGAAGGAAACAAGATGCTGCTGACCTTCCACACGGACTTCTCCAATGAGGAGAATGGCACCGTCATGTTCTACAAGGGCTTTCTGGCCTACTACCAAGCTGTGGGTGAGTGGTCCCTAGGTGCCCTTTTTGTGGCCTCAGTCATATTGAATGGGGACTGGAAAAAGGAAATCTTAATCCATAAAAGCAGGAAGCCTGGCC